ACATGTAGGGATACGTATGCAGCTAGTTAGCAACAGCAGCATTGGTGAGAACCAAATGTTTTCATGAGGCTCTATTGCTTCTACCTCTACGCAACTACGCCCTACGATGCACACGAGGCCGTAAGAGGCTGTAAAGTGCTGAATGACGTTGATACCTACGTAGACAAACACCCCAGGGAGTGGAAATAGCCCTCACCTAGATACCCGTTGCCTACCTCTAATTGCTCTGCTTCAAATGACCTTCGATTCCCTTCGCGCGCGTCAAGTCGATGTGCCCGAAGTCGCAGCAAGCTGTGCCGCCACACAGGTCTCGATGAAAAGTGATCCATGGGCCTTGGTTTCGAACGCATTTTCAAACTGACGATATATTGTTTCTCAACAACTTTGTCCAACATTGAGCCGAGTCGTTCAGGTTATTAGAGTCCAAGCTGCAGGGTTGAGGTGGTTGACAATTAATCATGGGTGTGTTTCTTAGAAGCCGCCAAATACATCTCGCAAACCTTGAACCCTGTGTTTTCCGCACGACATGAATTCTGGATAACTCGAGTCTTTGCGGTAGGGAAAAAGATATGAAAATATCTCTACTGTGCAGTTAGTTTCACCATTGCCTTAACCTGTAATATTGAAGCCCTGACCTGCTATGCTTTGCACCGCACGCCTTTCTGGTTGATGTAGGTATCCCTCCGTAATCAGAACCGAGTGACAGGACGTCACCCAGGCCCCAAGAAAACATGTGCCCTGTCCCTGGCTCATGAACCGGACATGCTCCCACGGTGCCCGGAAGAGTGGTGGTGGTGGAGACGAATGGATCGTGGATCTCAGACACACATGTATGTACGATTCCATGCCCCTGTCTCAGCTAAAGTACCTTGAGCTTCCGCGCCAAAGCCGAGCGGCTCATCAGACTTGCACCCGCGCTATCTGCCAGACAGACACCGCACATTTGTGAGAAATAGGTGGCGTAGTGCAGAAGATGCACCGTAGCATACTTACTTGACCACCCGACCCAAATGTGTCCACTTTGGATGATCACGGTGCGGAACTCTAAAAACCGACGGGACCTGCGGGACGACGGGACGGGACAGCGCCGACTAACTTTCCACCAGCCCTACGGATAACGTCAGGTTACCCACTTGGCGGTAATCTTACATATTTACAAATTACGCGCGCTTACCGTTACGTTTCTCTAGCACGATTCGGTACATACCGAAAAATACGACAAAAAGATTTCACTGATTACTACTGAAGCAACATAGCACTCACTACCAGGCTCGATATCTGCTTTCACAACACATCTTCTTGGTTACCTCTATCGAAGGCGCCTTCGTTTTCAAAACTATAAGTCACAGTTTGCTTGCCTTCGCCCAAATCCCCAATCGCACAGCTAGGTAGTTTGCCTTGCCTGCGAGACCACAATGGACCGAAAAAAAATTGTCCACCGTTTGGACACTCCCTTTTCCGCTGTGGAATGGTAGGTTTCTCTCTCATACGCAGATTCACTGAATTTCACGTATGACATTTGCTTACTCGTATGTTTCGCCTAGGCCACAAATCAGCCAAGAGGATCAGGACGCCATCCTTGAACTCCTTTGTCAGTAAGTCAACCAGAGCTTCGCCTAATGCTCCTCTGTCTACCAAGGCACTGCAGCGATGATCATTTTCTAACAATCACGATACAGTCTCCTGTCTCCTTTGGGCCAATACCGAAAAGCCTTCGTAACCCCATCCAAGGGGAAGCGGAAGCGGAAGCTGGTCGAACAACAAGGAGATGCCCAAACTTCTTTGGTGCCTCCCGCGCCAGAAATAGCTGCCTATGTTGATGCGGGTCTTTCCACTATTTCACGAAACTTGCAAGATCTGTCAGCTGTCGCTGTCAGTGAGAAAGCGGAGGAAGCCAAAGGTGGCGAGCATGACAGGAAAATATCAAGTGGCAGCAAGAAGGCTCCATACAGCGTCATTTTTGTGGCGCGCTCAGGCCAGTCCTCAGCGTTCAATTGCCATTTCCCCCAAATGGTCGCAGTGGCCTCCAAGTCTCAGTCACCGGAGCAGAAGATGAGACTGGTTGGATTTTCCAAATCCTGCGAGGAAAGGCTAGCAACAGCTCTCGGTATTCCGAGAGTGTCGAGCATTGCTTTGAGAGCAGATGCACCGCAAGGGAATGGCCTCGTGGACTTTGTGAGGAAACATGTGGCTCCCATTGAGGTAGCCTGGCTTCAGGAGGCTGATTCAGGAAAGTTCTTGGAGACGAACATTGAGGCGGTTCCAACAAAAATCGGAAGCAAGAAGACGAAGAGCTCCTAGTGGTGGGAGGCAACACAAGCAATCAGAAGTCTGTTGAAGTCCGACCGGCATGGCTTCCGGGAGACATTTCTCTGGATATGTTGCTGGTTCGGCTCACTCCTACTGTGCTCTGCCTGGATTTCGCGGTAGAAATCCGCATACCGCTTAGACGACTCGAGAACGGTCAGGCAGCTTCGATACACCAGGCTCACCAATAAAATATGGAGTGTTTGCTCATTTGAGGCTCGAGAGCGGGAGTTGAGACTGAATGAATTACCAGAGCGGATGGAAAATGAGCCAGGCTTCCTTGGCCGATACTCTGCCCACGAAAGACCATAAATGCCCACCCAACCGCTAGTTTCAAGGCCTATTTTTTTTCCCCCATTGCTTTACAAATGATATCTTTTGAAGCCTGTGTCATATGTCATGTATCTATCGATACAGCTTGTATGATGTTTGCTTACAACCTGTTTCGAGACACACCTGAAAAAGATATAAGGACCCCCCGATGACGAGCCGACCTTGGGTTCTAGGGAGGAACACCCTTCTGATAATGGGAGGCGCAATCACTCTCTCGTACGCGCCTTCCCGTCTGTGACGCTGAGCAGGAACATGCGAACCCTAAGACGGCACACCAAAACTTGAAACACCCGCTGATAACGTTCACCTCTCGAGTTTCTTCCACTCGTCAACATCTTCCATTACACATCTGACATTTCCCCTAGAAGGTCATCACCACCAGCAGCAATTCAAAACTTCTCTTCCTCATTCCGGGTAGCTTGCTACAATACTGCGGATAGTCTCCCCATCACCCCGCTCACCTCGATAACAACTATCGCTTTGTGGACACTCTCTCACCACACGTCGCGTCATAACCAAGTAGCAACCATGACTCCGGACCAGGAGCTAGCGGAGCAACTGGCAGAAGCGCGCGCCTTTCAAGCAGAAGCTACGAAAGGTGGCAACCGTCAGAAGAGTCGCCGCCCAGCTCGCAACAGAGGCAGAGGCGGTCGCGATCATGGAGATTCTCCCTCCACCCCTCCTATTACCCATTCTTCTCGTGGAGGTCGAGGTGGAAGAGGCCGCGGAGGCTCTCTTCTCCAGCCCGCGGCCTTCGAGCAAGAACAGAGCGAGAGCCATCTCCCTGCCACGCCCGCTTACACTCCTCAGAATGTCAAAGTTCGCCCATTTGCCATTCCTATTGTGGCACCCCCTTCCGCCAACAGCGGATTTACTCCAGCTGTAACCCCATCCGGTGTCGGTGGCTCTTTTTTTGCCCCGCAAGGTATGTTCATCAATTAAACTTTTTATGTATATCCCTACTCATTCGTTATAGCTGCCCCTAAAGCCACCGCCTCCAAAGTTCAAGCTCGTGCGACAAGGGGAAGACGTTTTGGGGTAAGGAAATTTGCATCTCAAGATGAAGACGATGCCGTGCTTGCATTCTTCAACGACGATACCCCAGCCCCAGTTGGTGAGGTTAGGTATTACCAGGAAGAATACGAGAAGAAGGAAACAAGTAAGGTACCGAAGCCGAGCTCATTCAGCTTGCAAGAGAATTACCCACAGCAGCCCAAAGAGACCTCAAGTGCGGCTACCAGTCACCTTCAGGACGAGCCCAGCACTGTCAACCTAGAGACCAAGAACGAGACCAACCCTAACGAGGAAGCAGAGGCTCAAATCAAGGCTAGTGATGAAGTCAACGTTGAGGTCTCGGACGAAGTGGCTCTAATCGACTCCCAGAATGTCAATGTCCAAGAGCTCGAGCATGCTGCGCTCCTTCGTGAACGTGAAGAGCAAGAGCGACAGCAGCAGCTCCTTCGCGAGATCGAAGAGGGAGAGGCGACTCTCGCAGAATTGACCAAGCTGATTGCCATGATGAAGGCCAACGCCGCAAAGCTTCATGTCAATTCTGCTAGCGGGTATCCTACAGGAGTCTTACAGCAAGTCACCAATACCGGTCCCAGCGCGAATAGTCCTCATCAAGGCGCTTCTGCGGCAGTAATCATCACGCCGTCCACAGCAAAACACAGGGACGCTTTCAACAACCAGACCTCAGTCCCGCGGAATACTGGAGGTGAGTAAACCCAATGTTCTTGAGGGTCTGATGTATTGCCGTACTAACGCGGACCAACTGTTCACAGGTGCCGTGCCTAACACTACGTCCAACTCTACGGGTGACTTGATGAACCTCGATTCTGAGCGAGTCACCATGCGATACGTTCCGCATCCCACCCAGATTGAACCCTTAGGCTTCAACGGCGGTCATTCCTCTTTCCAGAATGGTTTCCAGGAGGCTGAAGATGAGGAGGAGCTTTAGGATCCACTTTGATCCGGTTCCCTCACTGAAATGTGTTGGCTTGTTTCAAGTATTGTGCATATTTGCGAGATTGCCCTCCTTAACGACAACGACATTTCTGCTCACAACATCAACTTCGAGAAATGAACATATCCCGCAACCAGTTACTCTGCCATCGAAAATACCACACCAAACAAAGCGAGGGTTTTAACTACACATACAAACCCGTCCAGTCTTTCTTTTGTTGAGTTACTGCATATTGCGCATCCGGTACCTGGCGGCATCTCAAGACCCATGAAGCTCTCATACCAGTTCACTTATCAATCTCACGAGCATGGGAAGGAAAACATCATGCGAACAACAAGCAAGCTGAGATCCCACCTTTGAGCTCGAACATGCAGTCCCCTTGAGCTGTGGGAAGGCTCAAGAGGATCAGAGGAGTACGCGCGCGAGGTGCTCCCGCTCGAGGGTAAGACGATGGCTTCACAGGGATGATCGAGGCGGACGACGGACGCGGCAGCAATAATATCGACAATGATCATAACAATTACCACCAGAAGGACATCAAGACGGGCACGATAGGATCAATGGGCAGTGCCGAGCACCTTCCCACGCTGGCGTTTGCTAAAGAGAAACCATCGCTGTGAGATTGTGTTTGATTAGCATATGGATTCATAGCGTATGAGCGCCCAAAAGCAGGAGAGCGGGGGAAGCGTGACGATGTCAAGAAAACACCCAGAACCTAGGCGGAGGATGAAATCTTGGCAGATGGAGAAGGATTTTCATGTCATCTTGCTTGTTTCGCTACCTAGCAGTTCCCAGTTACGATCAATTACCCTTTGTTGGTAGCAGATCTTGAAGTATGGGACGCGACAGTGGCTCTGGAACTGTTTATCCGTGTTTGGTAATTGTAGCGAGAATAGTTAGACCCAAGAGAATATGCAAACCAAGAGAAAAAAGAAGAAAAACTAGAAAAAGAAATTGACGAGCGGTTCCTTATGTATTGTGCGGGCGCCAACACTTCCTAATGTACGCAACAATGCTCTAGGAATAGACAATGCTGTTTCATCCGGAATATCAGATCACACACAGACGGAGATTATCATGACCGCTGATCATCACCAAATGAGAAGCCATGAATTTTCCTTTACAACACTCTCTAGAGCGTGCTGAGAGCGTGGTATTTGAAAGAAGATAATCTCCCAATATCCACCTCCAATCAAAATCCCACTCCGATGTAAACAAACCTCTTAGGTTCTATGAAGGTACCTCTAGTCATTAATCCTCATTAGCAGCCTCCCACTCCCCAATACTCACTACCCCATCACTCGAAATTTCAACATGCACTCCGCCGCCACCACCACCACCACCACCACCACCATCATCATCACTCCCCTCAGTTACATGACCCTGACCACCACCACCGATTTGTTCAACAACCAACCACAATCCTCCATACACCCTAATCACATCCGGATCCAAATCCACCTCCTTCGTTCTTAAACCAAGACTGGCATCCGCAAACTCCCCCTTGGCGCTGTATCCATCCCCTTCAGTGGTACCCTGCCCCCCATGTATATGTCCAGCTCCAATCCCTCCGATCCCTCCGAGCCTCTCCGAAAGACTGAGATTACTGAGACTAGCCGCCAACTCGCCCCCGCCTCCTGAAGCCGTGCTGGCTAATACTCGCTTTCGTCCTTCGATAGTACCTAGTTCGAGGGCTACTCTCACCATGGCCGTCTTTTGCGTAGTAGATCCCGTCTTGACAGATCGCGCTAATACGCTGGCACGGGTGAGTCTGGCGACGTCGACGCGGGCGCGGACCCTTCCCTCGCCTTGGCGGACGGTGGCAGGCGAGGGAGCGGGCGTGCGTAAACGCCCTGCTGCGTCCGATAGGATCGGCTCGACAGTGAATGGGCAAGCGGCGCTGACGCGGAGGGAGTACCGGCCTGTTTGCCCGGGCTCGTAGGTGGAGAGGACTATAGTGTAGGTACCCGGGTCGATGAGGGAGGAGGTGTGTCCGTGGTTGTTGGATGCCACGGAGGTGTTGGAAGTGTTGGAAGAAGGTAGCGTAGAAGCAAACGTGCACCCCCTTTGATACTCGGCGCTCGAACAAATGAGATCCCGCCCCACGACGGCCGTGACGCGTTGTCCGCCGTTGGAGTAGAGGACCGCAATGTGCACGGGGAGGTTGTCAGCCCTCTCGGTGCTGAGGACCAGAGACAAGGGAGAAGGGCGGGTGAGCGTGAGGGCGTATTGCGGGTTGGTGACGTAGGATGGGTAGACCGTTGAGCCGCCGGCTGTGCGGCGGGTCCAGGCCCCCGTGATGGTTTCGTTATAGGGAAGCGGGTCGGAGGCCGGGGAGATGGTTAAGGGCGAGTTAGAGAAGAAGGAGAGGGTGAAGGAGTAGGAAGGGAGCGGGAGGTCGGATTGAGCAATAACGAGGGTTTGGGCAACGCCGGGCGTGGGAGAGTAGCGGAGGAGCGTGTTGGGGCTGTCGACGTAGGGACCTTGGTGCAGGGCGTGGTGGGAGCCTTCGGAGAGGGGGATGCGCGTACCGGGCGGGTGGGAGGCAAAGAGGGAGAGGGACATGTAGCCAAGGGATTTTAGGGGCTGGTGGAAGTCGTGTTCTTGCTTGCGTTCGCGGAGGATGTCGAGTTCGGAGTCTTGCCAGTGCCGGTTGAGGAGGACCCAGACTGGGCTGCCGGTGTGGGAGAGAATGCTGTATTGTGGGTTTTGGGTGAAGACCAGCTCTTCGGCTTTTGGAGGGATTGTCCATGTAAAGTGGTGGTCTTGACGGAACCGGAAGAGGGAAGGACTCCAGTTGACGTAGAGTGAGTCGAAGTGTTGGAGGACATCCTCAAAGGTCATCCAGAAGGTGTTGGACATGCTCTCTTCTGGGGATCCGCTCCTGTCGGTGCTCGAGGTGGCAGTTGATCCTACACCCGTCCATACCAAGCTGTCCCGCCATGGGTTCTTCACTAGAAAGAGTCGGTTGTTTCCGTCGTTTCGAAGGTCAAGTACTGCGTAGTCGTGCTCTCTAACCAGGCCGAGGGTTCGCTCTTCCTCACGGGAGAGTTTGCCGGTACCGAGTGTCACTAGCGCGTTGCCTTGTTCGTACGCTGTCTTGATACGGCTCCATGTCTCATTCAGCTCGATGTCATCGCTGTCAATTTCACTTAGCATCTTAACGGCTATGGACGCAACGAAAGGGAGTGTTTCTCACGTTTGAAGAAATATTTGCTCCGGAATCCAACCGGTAAGAGCGTGTAAGTCCGTGCCAGAGTTGCTGCCAGGAAAGTCATAGCCGCCTCGAATCTTCAAGTAGGCTTTCTCGATCAATGCCGGCCAGATCAGATATGGATTGCGTCGGTCCACTACATAAAGCGTGCGCTCGGAGGAAGAGGTCGGAAGACGGTCGTCTATGAGCACCTTGCGCCAGCAGCCATTGAAGTACATGCGAAAGATGTACTTGCCATTTTGTGATACGGCTGGTCGTTTGACGTCGTCGTCATAAGGATACATGAGAGAGGAAAGCAACTGGTCTGTGTTAGTGAGACTGCATATGTGTCACAGAAAAGGCGGTCCTGTGCTCTTACCGAGCCTGTTCTGGGGCCGAATTGCCGGACAGCAGCACACAAGCTTGCTACGACCGAGCAATCGGTTGCCAAATCCTGACCGAGATCAATGCTTTCAGTCGCAGTCATGAAGACGTCTGCCCCGCGTTCCGGCACATCCATGAAAATCTCATGTGGCCTCTTCCAGCCGGCAAATATGTCTTGCTGCTCAGGGGAGAGAGTAAAGGGTGAATGGTCCCTGTGGAACAGTGAGACAAGGCCATTTCATATCCCACAATTTGTCATAACATACGTATAGCACCCATCAGCTGCCTTTGAGGCGGCAAACTCATCCGAAGCTGGTGTCTTCTCCCACGGTGGAAAGATATTGCCATGCAACTTGGATGATTTTAGAAGAAGAGTTTTCTCGGCAATGGTCAGGGTCCGCGTCGATTCGGGCACTGGCGAGCGGGCAGAAGTAGCGGCGGATTTTGCATTGGCTTTGAGTCGTTCGCCAAGGGCTATAAGGTCGCTACATTTTCGCTGTAGGCGGTTGCGGTCTTTGGGGTTGGCGGCTTTTCCGGCTGCGCGCATGTAAATCTCGGCGGCCGCAATGGCATGTTTGAGTGCTTCTTGGCCATGGGATTCGGCGAGACGGCGCTCGTGTTCCTTGCAAAAGTTAGATGTAAATCTCATGTAGGTAGAGACATGATCTAGAGGGTGTTGGGCATTACCAGAGCTCTAGCCTCCATCGTGACACTTGTGGAAGGATAATGGTGTAAGACTTGTATGCATAATTTGGGATGCCCAGTCCTCGAGTCCTCTCCTGGGACCGCAGTTGGGCGGACTATTGCGGAATATGGGTTTGAAGTATAATAAAGGCAATGTTAAGGACGAATGCCGACTGGGATCCAGATGACAGCAAATGTGGATGGATAGATGACACGGATCAAATGAGTAGCGTAGACTAGTCAGACTAGTTCTATTTTTCTTGTCCAGGTCGAATCAAGGACAGGATCAAAGACGACGAATAAAGAGGCTCGATTGCTCAATAACGTACTAAGTATATTTTGCGAAAGGTAACGGGACCCCAGACAACGACCTCGTGTATCGAGCTTCCACTTGCTGAAACTGGGGACGCCGCCTTGATGTGATTCTTGGCTGCAGCGAATGTCCATCCGTCTTTGGCATCGACTCCAGCACACCGGATGTTTAGCTCTTGGCCGTGGAAGCCGAACATGTATAAACGGCCCGTTCTTCTGTGCACTTGGATTCCCAACTGGGGCACCGACGGGTCGTCCTGCAGGAGGTATCCCCGGCTCTGAGGTTTGCGGAACCCGAGCCAGCTCAGGGCGGTGCAACATTCCGCGGTGGTGCCAACAGTGTCGGTGGAGATTCTGGCAAAGTCCATTCCTCGTCTCGGATAATCCGACTGTGCTTGATTCCAAACTGCCTTTCAGTGTGGGGCCAAACCGATAGGAAACTGACAGCCAAGCTCTAGCCAAAGACCCCAAGCTTGGCATTGACTTTGCGCGCCAGCAACCGTCACCGCGTCTCATCATCTGAACAACGACAATGAGTGTCCAAACCCACCTACAGCATTTCGAAGCGCTCAATTCCGTCACATTCACATGCGGGGTGCCTCTAAACGGCTACTCCTGAGTCTCCACCACTAACCCTAACCCTAACTACTGATCTGGGTTGCCGGAGGCGAGTTAGACCTTGACTCCACACAGGCCGTTTGGAATCCGTCGCGCACAAATCGGAGTATGTACATGGGCCTCGCTTTCACGTCGGAGTGAATGCCGTTGTGCTGCAGGACGGACGGCGTGGCGGGTGAGACAGGGGAAGCCCTACCGGCCTATCTGGGAAACGAGAGCCCTACCTTTTCTATCACTGGAACCTTGGCGTGCAGAGGTTGGCCATATCACTGGTGAATCGTGAGTTGGAGTTGGAGACGGGGTTGGTCGAAGTGGAAGTGACGGAGTCGGGGGCTGGGAGGGTGATGGAAAAAGAGTTGACACTTGCTTGGGTCTTGGATGACAAAAGCAGATATGGCGGGCGAGTCAGTTTGAAACCCCCCAAGGTCATTTCGAGGAGTTTGGAACTGGGAAGTGGAATGGAGAATGCCCAATATCTCAAGCTACTACAGCTATTGTTTTCCAACTTTTACAATTCCCCTTTTCCGAGAAGTATCAAGGTATGTCTTGAAGTCAACGCAGTCAACAGCACCGACGGTACCCCGCATCGGCCGATAAGGTACAAACTGACATCAAGAACGGACAGCGATGCAAGAGCCCCGCCACGGGCAGTGACGGGATGAGGGGATCTGCTGTTCCTGCGCCCTGGACCTGGAGCCTCCCGTCGCATCATGCCATGAGGCCATGGTGGGGCATTGCGGCCTTTAGTTCTAGTGCCTTTAGCGGCCTCGGCATGCGTTCCTGGGCCAACAAAGTTCTCTTCAGCCTGATTGCCGGGTGCTCCTTCAATTGCCCGGTTGGCGGTGCCGAGAGAGCCTCCACTGTGACAGGCATATGATTTCAGCTGGGACGTGGGGGGCTTCGGGTTTCCTGATCGCCGACCTAGGGATCGGGCCACCGCCAAGGGTAGCCAGAGATGCAACTGCATCCCGAAAGAATTATGGTCCGCATAGATAGGTACAGGGCCATGGCTTGGATGACGAAACGGTGAGAACGGTCAACAACACAACTTGGTCGTTGGTCTTATGCCTGTCTTGGGAGCTTGGCTACTCAGCCACCCGGGGACGCCGTTGTGTGTCAAAAGACTTGGTTGAAGATCACGACGGATACAAGCACCATAGTAGTGCTATCTTCACAGCCGTGTGCCAATGGCTTGGGAATCTTAAATATCAAGAATCATGTTGCTGGTTGCGGCATGATCGCCATTCGGATGTCTTGGAGCAAAACGTTAACCAATAACCATGCTATGCGCAAGTCCTTCTCTATCAGCACCTTCGGGCTCGCCGAACACGGTCCTCGGATATGTTGCCAGAGAGCGGGCGGGAAGAACCGCTTGAACGATGTGCCATGGCAGCGGAGAACGGTCTCGCAGGGTTTTAACCCGTCTTCGTTTCCAACTCTCCAAGCCATGGCCACAATACCTCTAACAACTTAGAGTCTGGTTGAGGAACAAAAGCCGACAAATCTGACGCCCCATAAAATGCATCTTTGGTCTTTCATTGACTCAACTCCTTGAATCGTCTTTGAAGAACAATGCCCACCGAAATCACTGGTTTGAGTTTATGTTCCAAAACTCTTCCTCAGCTCGCAACTTTGTTTCAGCACTTGTGGGGATCCCCTCAGATCGAAGTCAAAGGATAATTTGCCCATCAAGCCTCCTGTCGGAATTTGATGGCAACCGTGACTTTCGACCAGATTTTGCCAGACTTATGTAGTGCTTGGCGAAAAGCAGTTCCTCCCTAAGAAGCATGTCGAGTATAAAAGCTTGGAGGCTGGTTGTCGCTGGTTGACTGGATTATCGTGCTATGTACGAGGTCCACAGATGGAGACGGTCGCAATGATGCCTCGGTACTGCATCATCGAGCTTGGCTTTGCTCTGAAGAACTGAGTTGCTTAATCCGAAGAGCCCGGGGAGAGCGAAATGGAATTCGGTCGCTGACGTCGCATATAAACTCCCATTGGCCCCCTTACATGGTGGAATATGTTGTCGAATGGGAAGTCGTGGCGTCCTGCCGCCTTATCTGATCTGATAACTGAAAAAGAAAGACAGGAAGAAGCAAGACGCAATGACTTGAAAAGCTGGGGATCCGGGGAATCTTTATCGACGCAATCGTGGGGACGGGAACGCAACCTAACCTGGAACCCCAAAAGTCGCAAAACCCGATCCGATTGGGGCATCAAGGCCCCTGTGTGGCCCTGCCTGGGAGATGCCGCGGCCTTCTGCAAAGCAACGAAACAGCAGAAACTGCCGTGTCGCAGCGACGGGCTGCTCCAAATTCCCTTTATTGGGGAACTGGAGGCGGGTGTGCCGAGGTTGTCGGTGGTTATCCGGTTATCGTCTATCACGGGTTACATTGGCTTCTTTTTTTCTGGGGAGGGGGAAAGACCTTTGAAAAGTTCCTGGGTGATTGCTTTCCATTCCACTTTCCCACGTACATACCTGCTGGACTGGATTCCACTTCCATTGTGAGGTTGCCCCGTCGAGACCGCCAAAAAGTCGGAGTCCCACCGCCGGCCTCGGTACATATCATTTGGACGGTCTGAAATAACCTAAAATCGTTGTAAAGGAACCACCTGGGCGCCCCCCCCTTCTTGCGCCCGTCGGTCCGTACTTGTCGTCACCGATTTCCTTCCCTGTGTCGTGTGTGTTGTTATCATTCGGTCGCATATCCTTTCCTATCTTGCCTTTCACTTTTGAGATTGTAAACCCCCCATCTTTTGTTCTTATTCGCATTTGCCTCTTATCATTTTATTTTCCGTTGTTGCGATACCTATCTACCAAATTATACACTGGTCCTGCCGTCCTACACGACATTGACATAAGCGGGGATCTCGAGCCAGCGATTGCGCCAACCAACACCGAGCGACCCTTTCCGTCTGAACCACTACTTCGAACTCCCGCCCCGAGCGTCCAGAGTATTTCTAGATATCAAAGTAACAATCAACAATGGCAGCACACTCAAAGCCCGCCCAATTGGGCCCCTGGGGGAAGGCCACGGCCGGCGCTGCTGGTGCCGCTTTCGCCAACGTGCTCGTATACCCACTTGATCTGTGTGTACACCCCTCTTCTTTGCGCTCTTTCTAGCAGTCACTGACTTTGTGAGAACTGCAGCATCAAGACGAAACTTCAAGTCCAAGTCAAAAAGTCCGCCGACGTTGAAAAGCAAGAGGCTACGGCCAGCAATGAGGTTCACTACAAGGGAACATGGGACGCCCTCACCAAGATCAAGAATGCCGAGGGTATTGCGGGTCTTTATGCTGGCATGAACGGTGCGCTACTGGGTGTCACGTCGAGCAACTTCGCCTACTTCTATTGGTATTCGATCGTCCGCACGCTGTATCTTCAGTACCAAAAATCGGATGCCCACCCCTCGACGGCCGCTGAGTTGGCCCTTGGCGCCGTTGCCGGTGCGCTCGGCCAGCTTTTCACCATCCCAGTCGCGGTCATCACCACCCGCCAGCAGACGCAAAGCAAGGAGGACAGGAAGGGCATCATCGATACCGCTCGGGAGGTTGTCGAGGGCGAGGATGGCATTACCGGGCTCTGGAGAGGCTTGAAGGCTAGCTTGGTTCTGGTTGTCAACCCGGCCATCACATATGGCGCGTACGAGAGGCTGAAGGATATTCTTTTCCCTGGAAAGAACACCTTGAAGCCCTGGGAGGCTTTCCGTAAGTTCGAGTCCTGGAAGTTTGTGCGATATGCTTGGCTAACAATTGTTCTGTAGTTCTTGGCGCGTTGTCCAAGTCAATTGCCACCATCGTCACCCAGCCCCTCATTGTCGCCAAGGTAGGCCTGCAATCCAAGCCTCCCGCGGCTCGCAACGGCAAGCCTTTCAAGAGCTTCGTCGAGGTGATGGAGTTTATTGTCAAGAACGAGGGCGCTTTGAGTTTGTTCAAGGGTATCGGGCCCCAGCTTCTTAAGGGCTTTTTAGTACAAGGTATCTTGATGATGACCAAGGAGCGGTACGTTACGAAAAATCGTCCACCATATTCACTACAGCGAAATACTGACATGTTGCATTATAGTGTCGAGCTCATGTTCATCCTCTTTATGCGCTTCCTTTCGAAGCTTCGGTCGCAGCAGCTCGGCAAGGCCGCTGCTTTGGCTGCCGCGGCAAAGGTTGCGTCCCCCGTCATCGCAAAGTAGACGCTCCCTTCCATTTCTTGAACAACGAAAGCACATATCATGACTTGAACGTTCTGCTTGTACTGTATTTCTGCTGCATTTGATGGCGGTCGTGATTGGAGAATCATACTCACAATTCGGTAATCTTCTGCTACTTGGGTTTCATCTTTCAGCCGGACCTGGTTATATAGAGCGGATAGAGATCCCTTGGATACAAGACCTTTATGAGTTCAACCTTGATCATTGCCGACAGTCATTGTAATTTTGTTGTTAAGAGCAAAGTTGAAGCTGAGAGCCGACTCGGAGTTGTCACGCCAAGAGAACCATTGCATAGCTCCACCCAGCTCCAGGTTGCCGCGAATTCGGTTGCAGTGATAATCGAGTGTGGCGCAACCAGGCTTTAGCCACGCACCAGCCACTCCCACCAAATTAGGGCAGTGGAAATTCTCCCACATTTGGCGCAGGAATTAAACTCGCTTGTCTGACCTTGCAACCCCAGCAGCCTCCGAACATCGTCTGTTTGTTTGACGCCGGAAATCAGTCGCAATGGCCAGTATGTTGTGCCTCTGCCGTCAGAATATCGTCATGTCGAAATAATGGAGTACTGATCATTTTCAACAGAGTCCAAGAACTCGTCTCAGCACAACCAGTCGCGGAAGGCTCACCGCAACGGGTACGACCGCCCCAGCATCACCGCTTGAAAACCGAGGAGGAGAAGATGATGGATGTCCGAATGAGCTCGAAGTGCTGACGAATTGTTCTTCGCGATAACAGTATCAAGAAGCCCAAGACTTCCAGATACCCTTCCCTCAAGGGCACTGACCCCAAGTTCCGCCGCAACCATCGTCATGCTCTCCACGGCACCGCCAAGGCTCTGGTACGCCTCGATCCCGATTCGCAACAAAACCACGAAAGAGCGCTTTTCGCTAACAACTTTACAGAAGGAGTTCAAGGAGGGCAAGCGCGAGACTGCTTAGATTTCCTCTACCCAACATCTGTCGGGAGGCGTCAAATGAAATACCATTCTGAATGACGAAACATTCATTCGGGACAGACAACAAGATGACCCATTTTCCGGCGTCACGGTGAAATTGTGATGTTCAAAGGTTGCGATTTACTCTCCTGGTATTCAGTCACAACAGGATTTACCCTCCCCACCACCCTCGATTGGGCGCGCACGCAACAAACAGTTACCCCGACTCGATATATAAACGACCGATGGACGCACGAAATTGGATACTCTTCCAGCCAGCACCAGCCCACACCATGCCCTGAGCAACTCAAGACCGACCGCATAACTTTTTCCCTGCCCTTCCTGACAGATTCCCCGCTTCTGAATCCCCTTTCCTATGGGGACTGAACGGCATCAGTGTGTACAACATTGGGCTCATATACCTACGCTCATGTGTTGAAGGATTTTATCGTGCCAAGAAGAACACTTTGCCGTACTACTCGTACACTTTGATTCTCTATACTCTAAGGACCCTCGTGCATGGAAGGACGGCGACACCCCATCGTTTCGCGACCCTGTCCTCTCCCCTTGCCTTTTGTGGATTCCCTGCTTTCATGGAGTTATGGTTTCAATGGCCTGCCCCGTGCCTTGATGATTCTTTGCGGTGCTTCCCCGGATCGTTAAATGCTTTGCATGCTTGCACTCACCAAGGCAGTGCCTTAGTTTAAGAAACGCGAAATACAAGAAGGTTTTGATACTCTTTTTTTTGTTCATCCCAATGCGGTAGTGACTGCATGATAGTGATCATGTCAATCTCTCGGCGCATGTGGAAAACATGGAATTGGTGACAGAAGTTTCTAAATCACCTGTTTTCCTATGTACACAAATGTCGATCTACAACAAACTCGCACGTCATATCAGCCTACGGGCCTAGCTCAGCACAGCATTAAAGATAGAATGTTAGCGATCTGACGTTATGGCAGCTGATCAGGTATATTATCGTCACCTATGAGTCGGCGTCGCCCTGGTCTCGAACAGTCCGCAGCCTCACACGATCACGATTTGGCTTTTTTTCACAACATCAACACGCTACCTTTTCGAACCGCTTGGCACCGTCTGAGTAGGGGACCGGAAACCCATATTCGCCCATTCTAGTGCGGGGGCTCTTTGTGGGCTTCCGGAAACTCTCCCATGGCCGCTAGGACGGAGGACCAGGGGCATGTGATGATGTTCAGGATCGGCTTGGCGGACACTGCTCGAAAAGAAACCCTTCCACCTCTACCAGCCGGGCGAAAAATACGCAAGGGAACGCCCAGGGTCCTAAACTATGCATTTTTGTTCCTCTGGATAATTTTGAACAATAAACGCGGTAAGTCTCCAGAAACACGAGTGAGGCGCCGGTGATTGTGCTAACTATCCTATAACAACCCTAACCCATTCCCAGGTACGGTACGTACGTAACGACCAAGTAAACAAAGAAAAGGGGTGAGCCCCACACATCTGCACTCTTCTACTTTCGAGGAATTGGCTGCTTGCCAAAGTCATTCTCAGGGAAGCTCTTGTTTCATTGAAGAGAATGAAAGCTATGGTGATGCCAGGTATGTATCTATGTGAGTATTGATGCTTGTGTTACGGCAAAAGCGGCTGTTTCTAGATGTGTTCGTCTTTGACTCCCAGCTCCATGCAGACATCAATCTCGCATTAGCCCAGAAACTAAGGTCCGGGCTACCCTCGATGAGAAAACGACGAATTGCCGATCATCACACATCCGGTGGTCGTCCTCCAAGTTAATGAAGAACTTTGGGCCAGGGCATCCAGCGGCCATGCGCCTGTTCATTCCTTTGTGCCGATTTCTGCCATCATCTTGGCTCCGGTTTGCAAGCTAATTATTTCGCATCCTCATCGTCATCCTGTCCTCGTTTTTCCGACGAATACAGATCTTCCGCGACTCTCTCAGCGTATATATCATTTACGCCAGCCAACTAGCTATCACCTTTCGGCATCTTACCGTTCAAGGACGGCATCAACGGGGCCGCGTCTTCAAATGCTCATCAACCCGCCCACGCCAGTCAGCACCGCTTCATCTTGAGCCTGCTCCTCACGACCAACGATGTCATCGCACACTTCTCCTTGGAAGCCCTCCCAGTTAACGCCGGTCCCACAGAACCCAGCGCTCGATAATCCCTCGACCTTGCGACCAGGTACACGCAGATGTGGAAGCCGACGCGTCTCCTCGAGACTCATCATGGCCACACCTTCCTGGATTGCCTCCATTTCCCTCTCCTTTGTCATAATTTTCTGAGAATCCCTCCGACACTCCGCAGCTCCGAGCCGTCCTCCAGGCCCAAAACTATGCATGTCGGCGCTGCCAGAGCCGTTTAGATCGAGGTCCATACGGTCACCACTCCCAACATGGGCAAGCTCCCGATCCAAATCCATCTCATCCATCCCCATCTTCTGATCCAGATCCAAATCCAACTCCAAATCTGAACCCTGCGATTTAGAGGCAACTAACTCCTCTAATATTTTCAACCCTCTCTTCGCCCGTTTCAGCACCTTCCTCACCTCCTTCTCTGTCTCCTGGCTCGGCAACAAGGGAAGCGTAAGCACAGGGGCTATGGCTGTCAAAGGCTCGTAGATCGAGGCGTGAGCGTGACTCTTAATAGCTTGAAGGGGGTTGCGCTGTCGGATTTGGATTTGGATGCCTTGAACGGGGGAGATGGGGGATGGAGGAGGTGCGAGAATGCCCCTGCTTTCTGAAGGGAACCTGTCGCCGGCGACCTTGGGCTTGAGCTTGGACTCAGAGAGATTTGACTCGCAAAGAGACTGCACAAGAGCGTAATACCTCACCATGAGCCGATTGAGCGAAGCGCTGTAGGGCTTTGCGGGGATTTTCTTGGATTTTGCCTTGGTCGTCTGGCTGTGGTGGGTTCTGAACGTCGCTGTCTTGGAGAACTTGGATTTGTGCCCGGGAGTCTGAGCAGATGGTAGAGCGAATCGAACGCTTCTGGGCTCTCGTGGTGTCCAAGCGGTTTGGTTGGGAGAGGTCGAGGTGAGATGGTGTTGAAGCTTGTCGGGAGTGACGGGTGGTGTTGGGAGTACGGGGTTGAGTTGGAGGGGTGGTGGCCGGGGACGGGACATGGTTTTGCCGAGCTCAAGATGCGAAGGCGAAGGGATCTGGAGCGTCAGCTTTCTGTCAGGAGACTCTTGTGACGGTGTCTCTGCGACGGTTTGTTGACCTGTTGTTATGGGGTAGAAAGAGGCTTTCGTGATACCGGTGGGCGATATGGAGTGGAAAGGTGAGCAAACAACGATTCAGCTCTAGATCACAAATCCAGTGGGCTCGTGGATATCGTTGCGTTCCGCTCCAAGTGTCTTGGACTGTTTCCTATGATATGAGCGGGTGGTGAGTTGCTTCTCGAAATCTTTGGAGACGTTGACTTCCAGTGTTGCTTGTTCCGGCAAGCTTTAGGCGTGATTCGGCTGTCTTCGAAGTTCTTCACGGGTCAGAATCAACAAGCTTCGAGTTGGTTTCGTTGGTGGATTCAAAGATTGAGGTATCAGAAAGGGTTTTGCCACCTGCAGCTGAGTTGGATGGTGCATGTATTTTGAGTTGAAAAGCTGGATCGAACAAGTGACAATCTTTAGATGACAGGTTCGAGACACAGACGTCTAACACTTCCACTTGGGACGACCGGACTCCCCCAGACGACCGACCAAAATATGTATTTCATCTTGAAGAGATTTGCGACAAACAAGGGGTATGGCGAACGGCACAGATCTCGTAGTGCGAATGAAAAGCTTGGTAAATATCCTATGTCGGTTTGGACCCAGGCCACCTTTGATTCTAGTAAGTTTCGTTTTCATCATCCAATATCTCATGGCGGTCTCTCTACTCCCAAATCCTCAAGTCCCGTCTGTAATATTCCCTCTATTTCTTCGATAAGGTACGAAGTGCACCACATCCTTTTCGTTACCCGCAATCCCTTCGACCCAGACCTAGCTGACAAATCCCCCCCCACGATCCGCAGATACCATCTACTGCCTCCGACCCCACGCGCAATGCCAGCTTGTACGCGCACCTGGGTCGCACGGGTGCGCTGAAGGTAGATATGCCCTCCAGTCAACTCCTCCAGATTCCTCGCTCCATATACTTTCCTCGGGCTCCTTCGTATCAACATCCTCCTCCATTTTCTCCTCGTCAACTTCTTTCTTAGTTTGGTCTCCCTTCACAGTCTCCGTTTCCTCGACGTCGTCCAGCTGCATCTCATCGTCCTCCTGCTCCCTCTTCACAGGGCCCCTCACCTGGGCCTCTTCGTTCGTGGCCTCGGCTTTCAGAATCTCCTCCCAGTTGACTGGCTCCTCCAGTAACTCCTCCTCCATCTCTTTGAACATGGTCATGATTTCCTCGTCGTTAAATTCCGGCCATTCGGGAAATTGGAACTGAGCGCCCATGCTGAGGTCCATGTCCATGGCAGTACGCATGGGCATAGCGTCCAGGACACTCTGCTCTTGGGCATTCTGCTCGCCTTCCCTCTCACCCTCCTTCTCCGTCTCTTTCTCTTTACATTTTCCCTTTCCTTTCCCATTCACTCGCGCCATCGTAGGCATGCCCAGCTGATGCAGTCGCTGCGCGAGTGGCTGCAGTGGCTGCCTCAACCTCCCAGTCCAGATCCTATGATTCACCTCCACTTGCAACTCCTTCAAATCACTAAAACAGCAATCCAGCTGTTTCTTCAGAACCTCCTCCCTCTTCTTGTCAAACAAGTCCTCGAACCGCTCAAACACGGCGCCTCTCAGGATTTCGAGTTCGTGGGCGAGGAGTTCCAGTTGGGTTTTGATGTCGGCGATTCTCTCTACATCGGCGGCAGCAGCGGAGGTGGCTTCTTCGTAGACGTTAACGGGGCCTGCGGAGCGTAAATGTGGGATGGAGGGAACGGCTGGTATGATGGGAACGGGGATGTCGTTCACTCGTTCCTGGAGATCTCGGCAGAGTTTGGAGATGGAGACGATGTCCCGGGGGAGGTGGTGGCGGAGGCGGCGGAGGCGGAGGTGGGAAAGGGTGAGGACGCGGTGGTGGAGGTGGGGACGGCGGAGGGGGTTGAAGTCCGGCGCAGCTTCCGAAGCGATTCCCTCGTGTTTAAATCTGGGTTCCGGGCTGAGAAGTCGAGGTGTGTTGGTGAGAGAGGTGAGGGGTGAAAGGTTCGGGGACTTGATGTCTTCCATTGTGGAGATGTTGAGGTTGCCGGCAAGTGCTGAGTCTTGTGGGCTTCGTCGTGTTGGCTAGGATTATCGGGTGTGTCTTGATAATGTTCGAGTCCTTACTCGCTTGGTGCTGTGTTTTCGTACCGATGGTCTAGATCGATACCGGCGAGGGACAATCTGAAACTGCAGAGAGCGAGCTCCAGAGGAGTATTTAAGTCTCCTGGAATTCTTGAGATATCATTTTTTGCGGCCATCACGAGTGGTACTGGCAATCTATCATGACGAGAGGCCATGGTGGTGAAGCTCTGGAGGCCGGTCACAGTGAATTGAACAATTTACAATGGATGATAATGGCATTATTAGAAAAGACTGTGATGCACAGCGTCTGTCTTGCAGCACAAGAACAACAACAAAGCAAGCGTTTGTTTGGAAGCGAGGAGTTGCCGTCAAGGCTCTTATTATCCAAAATGTGATAGCTCACAGCATTGGACCTAAAAGCTTCTCGACACTCTCATTGAATTTCCAATGACGAGGAGACGACGAACAGGATATATGACCGATACCGAAGAATGTGCATTGAAAGTCATCATAGTCCTTTCTGGAGCCGCAAATCTTCGGTGTTAGTCGTTTGTTATGTGTCACAGCGGGATGTTGATAAACTGGATGAAGCTCGTCAGATGGCAGCTTCTGGTCTATGCCTCAAGTGTCTGAGACAACGCAGAGTGTTTATTGCAGGACCATGGAACCAGTGAGCAAGAGAAAGCGGATGACAAATCCATTGTTTATTGTGTTCGGGATGAAAGGGCGGCATACTTCGGGAATCGACGAGAGATGATACAATGGCTTCGTTGTGAATGGGGCGTGGTAATGGTGATGAATGCTGCCGTCTTGCGCGACGTGACTCCAAGGCACGAATTCCACGACGTTTATCTGTTTTTTCTTCGGTGAATGTCCTGGATAGCAACCTTTTCCTTTCTCTTTTGCGGTAACGAGCTTTCTGTCTTTTTCGTTCGTTTGTCGATTTTGACCTGGAGAGTCTAGCAGTCCGTCTTAACTTCCGTTTAGCAGTCACCTATACCAACCGCAGGTCGGAACCAAATATCATGGGACACCATGAATCACGATCATACCATTCAAACACCGGTGGTTGCGCACTCCAAGTGCTTGGCCCAAAGTAGGGCTCTAGAACCTGGATCTGTCTCAAGTAGTCAGGACACCCACCGACTCCGACCCAGTGATAGGCGAGCAGGACGTCGCTCCCCATCAAAGCCAGAGTAAAAAAGTACATCGAACGACACACTCAGCAGTTCCATTTTATCTACCACTCCTCGTCGTTGTCGGGCAATGGCGGCGAAGAGCTGCACCAAACGGTTTTGATGCTCAAGAGAGCTCAAAGGATCATGTTGGACCTCTAATTCGTGCAACGGTCGCTGACAACTAAAAATGAAGTGATGAAAACACAATTGCACGCGCAGCTCCTTCCTGAACCTGATGTGTGCTTGAAGGAGCTGGTTACGTTCAGGCTATGTTCCCTGAAGACAGGTGTTAGTAAGGGGGTGGAGGGTGAAGGGTGAGAGGGAGGTTGAGGTTCCGGTGAAGAAGGGTAGGAAGAATAGAGGTAGGTAGTCGACTCGGGTGTTGATAAGGAATCTCTTTCCGTTTGATTTTTGTCGCCCGGCTGTCTTAAAGGTACGACGGTAGGGAGTATGGCTGATAAATTGCTGGAAGACGTATCCTGGAACTTTGTTATCGGTTTTGAAATCCTATGACATTCAATCAGTGTTACGTCTCGTCCGAGACAAAATATGTGAGACCAACCAACAGGCTAGGTAAACCAGTCCACTACCGCTCGTTAGGATTAAAGAAAAGGCCGTTGCAAGACTGTAATAGGGATTACAACAATTCGAAAAGACATCGGCTAGAGTCCTATTGGTATGTTTTCATTTAGAGATTGCCAAGAACTTAAGACAAGAGGTGTTACAAAGACGCTTGGATGCGTAGTAAGAGTATATTCAAGATATAATGTTAAAGGTCTTAGCTATTTTGTCTACGACGAGACTGCTGTGGCAATTAATCCAGTCTGTTACAAAAACAATATAAACGTCAAAACCCAACCCCTACCCCCTCTCCGGTTTGGGAGGAGGCGGCAGGCCCTGACGCTCGGCTTGTTTGACCCTGTGGCCATATGACCTGCGTTCATGCAGGATGAGACCGTACTCATCCGCCCACCCGATATCGCAGAGATCGCACCACCACGACAAGTCGCCGTCTTGGGACTTGGGAGGGACGTAAGTCCCATCTTCCCTTGGTCAGATGGTCAGCAGTCTCCAGATGTCTCACCAAATTCCCCGCGGACCCGAACGAAATCTCGCATGTTGGACAACGATAAGTATGATTGCGGACGTTCTCCTGGTACGTGGCCGCGCCTTGGGGTTCATGCCGCTAATAATGATCAATAGAAAAAATGCCAAATCAAATAAGTTCGACGCTATCAACTCGATAGGCACTCCCTAGAGACAGAGACATTAGCAGCTGATCAGAGATAGTTGAAGAACGCAACCTACTATTGAATAGTAACCTCACGCAACACTAATAATACCATCGTAGGGTGGTGGTGGTTGGTGTTCTGTTGTTGGTTTGGGGGTGTTCAATGGTAGGAGTGGTTGCTCGTGATGCGTGGAAGCAGGCATGTGTAGCTCAATCAAACTATATTGGTGATCATGCTAAATGTGTCTTTCTATCTGTGACGGGAGCTTCCAGCGTTGACGGGCCTGATATAGCTGGAGGCTCAACGTCGTGGCTTCCCATGGGCTCGCCAGTGATTCCCCAACAGGAAATCCTGTGTCAGCTCGGGTGATGTGACAATGGCTTCGAAGTGATGCCGTAAAATCCGATATCGAGAGGCTATATGAGCAAGAAGGACAGGAAGACCAAACAAAATGTTGTCAACTGGTAGCGTCGAGTTTTGCTGGTTGCCTTGGAGAAATCTGTGATCAAAATCTCGCCGTGCAATGTAATCCAGATTACTTCCGATCTGGTCCAGAACCGGATGATGTTGAGAACGAACTAAAGTATAGCAACCGGGATTACAATGTGGAATCTTGGGTCCAGTTCGTCGTGGGGTCGAGCTGTATCAGCTGTGAGTGTGTAGTTCGTCATCTTGTAGACTACTACTATTATGTTAGAAAGAAGTTGGGGACATGGGGAAGTAGAGAGCAGAATAGTAAGTGAGAAATATACCTGTGGCATGGAGGAGACTGGAGATTTTCCGTTAGTATGGATCGCCCTTCCGTCTGTCCTCGTTCCGATTCGAGTGCGTATGCGTGGAATGCGTGGGCGTGAGTGGGCGTGGACGGCATGGATGGACCGTAATCAGGCGGCTAATAAGCCCGGAGGGCGTGGATAACGGAGAGGACCCTAAGAGCGTGGATATAGACGTGGCCGTGGTGGACGACGAGGGTGAGGGGGATGATACTGCTCTTTTGTTCGTTTTTAATCAACGATAAGTCGGTCAAGAAAGGATTTTGATAAGGAACCGTCGTAGACGCAGCTTGTAGAGAAGTAGAAGAAGAGGAAAAAGGCACCTAATGATCGATATGTGTAAAAATTTGGTTTCCCGGAGAAGAATTTTAGGGGGGAATGCAGTGATTTAAACGCCTGCTGGGAGGGCCCGGGTCAGGTTTCCTGTCTATTTGCTTTCATCCTTGTGATCAGTCATCCTTTCTGCACGAGTGAAGCTCACTTCTGCAGTTGCATAGGCAGGTTCCGAGGTCCAAGGTTACGGTTGCCAAGTTTGATGCCAACCAGTTGCCAGGCGGGGTGAATAATGTGCCTTGGGGTTCCCTATCGGGGAGTAGCGATGGCCGTTTGTAATTGGGGTTGGCGGTTGGTCATTGCCTTGTTAGTAATTTGAGATAGAAAGTGGTAATGGATGTTGTCAACACTTCATCAACCGGTGACTTTTCATCATTCGTGCCATAGGGGGATCCAAAACACCGATGGTTCTTTCTGCAGCTCATCAGTGAACGGCGTAGTGCCATGGGACAGAAAGGCGGAAATCTCGCACCTCTTTCTGATCTCCCCACAGAATTGAAAAGACTATCGCAATTTCACCACAACTCACCCGATGTCATTATTCAACAATCAAATCCATCCCTCTGGCCGCCAAACGTTACTCTACCCATAGGCACCGTGCTACCAAAGACGGTACGAAACCTCTGATATCACGGACTGTAAAGGGGGGAATCCAGCTGACACTAGTCACTTGTAGATCATGGAAGTGAATGTCTTGCCTCCTGATCACGGCTTGCGGAAGGAACCGACAAAGAAAATATCCTCATCACCGACCGCGGCTCATGCAGTACGCATTGAACCCCCATCACGACCCAAGACTGAGCTGGAAGAGGCAAATAGTTATCCAGTTGATGCAAACGGAAAAGGATGTGCTCCAAAGCAGCCGAGACGCCGTCGCAGTGCCTTCGTGACAGACAAGGCTCTCGAGCACTTATCCCAAAACGACCCGCTCGCCGAATTTGATCGTATACATGAAGGCATCGTGGGCATTAAGAGATACTTTACGCTGCCCACCGTCCTCGAACCAAGCAAGAAGTTGGTTTCAAGATTGAATAAGTTTAACAAACGTCGCGATGAAGATGTGTTCAAGGGGATATGTTTGGAAGACTGGGAGCTCGAACAGGAAGTGGACAAATGCAACAGCGCGCTACAAGCCGTGCGAAAGGAAATACAATCTGCGCTCAGGGCAGTCGTGGAAGAGTTCTTTCTTGTTCGTGGACCGCTACCGGGTGAGCCAAATCGGAACCTTATCGTTGTACAGGAGAGCTTCAGGGTGTTGGAGGACTTGAGAGCTACGTTTCCTGAGGCTGTGGCTGAGTTTGGGAAGCAAGCTGGGCCGGCTGATGGAGGAGGAGTTGCGGCTCCGCCGAATTCTCGGGCTGAATCACAACAACCCTCTCGACAGTTCCATCCTCATCATGATTTTCGCTTCCAACCAAAGAGAGCTCGGGCGGATAGCGAAGAACCCCAAGATCTGGATGTGTGCGTCAAGAGGAGAAAAATTTCTGAGATTGGATCACGGCAGAAGGCCCGAACAAACAGCGAGGAGTCGCAAGATAATACAGTGTGCATCAAGAGGGAAAGGGTTCGTGAGACTTGTTGGTGATTTTGTTTATGGAAATGTCGTTGGGTGGGTTGGTTGCTTCCTTTTCCCGGGTTGTCTTCGGAAATTGGGGCATAGCAGAGTTAGGGTTCAGATGTTTGGAGGGATACTACCCTGAAACGCAAGCGTATCGACATGTTTCTCACCAGAAAGACACTTTTGGTCTGTGAGTGAAAAGAGAGTGATGTTATACTTGGGGTTTGTCAACCAACTGCAATAGCATTAAACCCTAACCCTCTTGAGGCGTTCGCTTGTGAAGCGAAAAGGGGCTCCACACTGAGTCTGGAAGAAGGGGGAACTGTCAGTGTCTAACAGATTTGGCCGTGATGCACACCAATTCGAGATAGGGATGGTGGGCAGAAATGGCACACTGTGAGCTCATCCTCGAGGGACACTGGCGTTGACATTTTGTGATTTGCGTCTTTCCGAACAACCTCAACTTGTTGTTTTGCATTTCGGGTGAATTGTTCGAGGCCTCCAGTCCATAGGTTTGCAGTGGCAGTCCAGTCTCGAGCCAGTGTCACAGACTCGACCGAAGTCACTCGAGGCTGAATCGGACACCTATTGTAGCCCCGCCCCACCTCCTCGTCCCGCTCTCCGCCCCTTCCGTAGGTCCCCTCTTGGCCCCGCCCGGCTGACCCTCCAGGGGCACTGTCCTGCCTGGCTGTCCTGTGCTGGGTTGCAGTGAGAACGTCGAAACACGGGTTGCCCTGAAAGGCGAGCGCCTCCATTGGCCAAGCAGCGCGTTAGTGCTAGCGCCCACAATACGCGCCATCAGCACCGCTGGATGAACCAATCACTAACAGTAGCAGCCACCACCACCACCACCACCATCCATGGAGGGAGGCATGAATGAAACGACAGCCGGCGGAGGCACCTCACTGCACTGCTGCAGTGATTGCGCGTGAGATCCAATTCTCGGCTGCCCGCCCTGACTTTCCAACTTCCACTCTGTGCTTGGAAATATTGCACCCGGACTTCCACTTCGAGTTCCTGTCGGACTACCTCAGTCACTTTCAACAACTTGAAAGTTTCGAGTCCCGTTCCTAATTCTGCTCCCCTCCTTCCCGCCAGCTATCAGCCTAACTGAGAAACCAACCTAAATCACAACCCGCCCGATCACGGCCGCGGCGTTAGGTTCGACTGGACACTCTTGCGATTGACGACTGACGCCGGCGCGTGAAAGAGGCCATCAGCAATCCCGTCATCAACACCGCTGCTACTGGCACAGGCTGAAAGTAGGGCAGCCAAAGGAAGAGGGCAGGACCTGGGGATTTCCATTCCAGTACCTATACCATATTGGGGGTTTCTTCCAGTTGTTGTCTTGAATACCAGGATACGTCCATCGTTTTAAATGGGTGAGTTCTGTTCATGTTCCCCGCCTGCCAATCAGCCTCTGAAGCATGCACTTTGTTCCCTTCCCGGCCCCCGACCCTCGACTCCGAACCCATACACCTCTCTACCCGATCCGGCCCCCGTTCGAGTTTATATACATACCTTATCCATGTCTTGCGTGACTTGGGCAAACTCCCGGCTCCTTTGACAAGCGACAGAAGCGAACAATGGCCAGCCTCCTCCTAGCATGAGTGAGTGGGATTGGGCAGTGGCCGGCTCCTGGCATGAAGTGCCCTGCCCTCGCTGTGATATCAAGCAGTCCGTCACTCGACACTATCCAAGCAGTCTCCACCAAGGAACGGGGCTGCCGGACTCGAGTGTGAGAATCGCAGAATGGGGCCACAATGTCGCAAAAAGTCTACAAGAGAGTGTTACGTCGAGCGGATCCGGGGCGAGTTTAGCCGCTTTTGGTGATTCTGCAACACAATCTCCAGCCATGCTGCTTGTCCGCGCGCCGGCGTCTGCGTCTCGGTCTGCGTCTCGTTCGGCACAGTGGTGGCCGCGTCACATTGGAGAGAATCGCTAGAAGCTTCATCACCCATCACACTTCTTCCACTTCTCTTCTCCATTCTCCCCTCCTCCGTTCGGCTACCCTGGTCTGCCCGCCAACCAACAATTGTTCTTCAACAACAACAACAAATTCCTCCCGGCTTTCTTTCTTCCTTTCTCCTTCCCGCTCCTCCTCGCTCCTCATCCCGTCCGTCCTCTTCCGCTTGATACTGTTCTTCCCTTTCCAGCATTTGTGATCATACTTTGTTTGGCCTGTTTCGGCCTTTGCGCGCGCGCAACTCAACACACACCCCCCCGCATTGCGCACCGCTCTTCGGTTGTTGGCCTGACCCTCGCTGACTCGATCGCTCACTTCCAATGTTCGACGCAGATAACCGACATCGCTAAACGTCATCCTTCTTTGCGCAATCTTCGACACTCCTTTGAGGCCAGCCGGTAACTGCAGGAGCTTTCGCAAGTTCTCGCGCGCATTCTACACGCCCTCTTTTCGCACACTTCGATCGCGTCGACTTCGAAAGTCTCGCTCGACTCCGCCTAATCCCAAGCAATAATTTTCCAATCACTTTACATACGCAACTGGAGGAGGACATCAGGGTACGTGCCGAAAACCTATCCCCCACCAGGGCCACGAGCACTTGAGGTGAATTATATGCACATGGCATTGACGGGCTCAACAATGTTCTCCTTGTTTTGGTTGGCGAAAAGCTCGTCGGATGACCGACTGCCTGGACAGCAGCTAACTTGCACTGTAGCCGTCTGCCTTGTTTCAGCGTTGCCTCGGGACCCTAGCAATTCGGTTACAATTCTTCAGGCATCTTTCCGACTAGCTTTTCCCCGACTCGCGACCTCGTCCCTCCCCGACACTCAGTTCCGATCATGCTCAATATGTCCAACATCATGAGCAACCGCAACAGCACCCCCGAGGCTAGCAATGTCTCTTCTCTGAGGCTCCCCTCTTCCCGTGCCATTGGCTCCAACCATGGCCTTCGCGCCTCTGCCGATGTAGCCGCTCTCACCGGCGCCCAGGCCGCCGCAAGCCGAATCCGCCCGTCGTCGGACTTCTACGGCCAGCCGCAGTCCGGCCAGGTGCAGGGCAATGCCGAGCTGGATCCTCAAGACAAGCTGGCCCAGCAGTGGATTGCTGACATTGATCAATATGAGACCACCCTCGAGGAGATGGCCGCTGCTACGCTTGATCAGGATTTCAAGGATGAACTCAGCGCTATTGAACAGTGGTTCCGCGTCCTTAGCGAAGCTGAGCGCACAGCTGCCCTGTATGCTCTGCTCCAGCAGACTACTCAGGTCCAGATCCGTTTCTTCATTCAGGTCCTTCAGCAGATGGGCAAGAACCACCCCATGTCGGGAGTTCTGTCCCCTGCTAACTTTGACAAGGGTTCGTGCAACTGCCCCATTACTGTTAGGTGCCATGCTGACATCATATCTTCGTTATCCCTAGATCCCATGTCGAGCCGCTTGAGTGATGCCATGGGCAAGCTGGAAGTGGGATCGGCCCGTAACTCCCTTGCCCGCCCCAGTGGCGGTGCCAACAAGAGACACTCGGGTCTGGATCAGACCACAATCAATACCATGTTCCCGGATGCTGTTGCGGCCATTGCGACGGAGAAGGCCAAATTCACGCAGCAGACAGGCAACCCTCCGCCTTCGAACCGTAACAGCCTGGTTGACAACCGCAACTCCCTCGCTGCCCCCACGGTTTCCGGCCCCAAGGATGACATCAATGGACAGAACCCGGCCTCTCCGTGGGGTCCCAGCGACACTTCTCGGCCCAAGTCGTCCACCGGCCAGACTCCGATGGGCCAATTTGTGCAACCTCCGCCATCGGCCGGTGGTTTGCGCTCCCCTCGCCCTCCGCAGCTGAGCAGCAACACAAACATCCAGAGCACGACCCTCACCGCGGCTGAGCCGCAGCTGACCGAGCTCCCCCTGCTATCCCCCTACACTTCTAGTGGTAACTGGGCCTCGATGGTCAACACGCCCATGGTTCCAACTTTCGGCCAAACGCAAGGAAACAACGCCGATATGGTAGCCAACGCGACAGCGATGAAGCTGGCCGCACTCTCGACGGTAAACAATCGCTTTGCTTTGGACGACGCTCGCCGCTATCGTCGTGCTCGTTCCAACGACGGGGCCCCTGGCCAGAGTCACGCTCAGCATCCCCTATCGCCGGGCCCTCAGGGAATTCCGAGCACCAATGTGGTCATGATCAACGAGCACGGGCAGGTCTTGAGCCACGACCATGTTTTGGCGCTTCAGCAGCAACAGCAACAAGGCCTGCAACAGGGTCTTGGCGGCTTTGGCGGTCATCGTTCACGCCCCACCTCACCCGGTATTGCGATGCCCAACTACGGCTCCGCGCTGCAGTTTGCTTCGCCGCAGAATAATGGCTTCCTCAGTGCGTATGACGGCGGTGCACCCGGCTTGATCAACAATGGACTGGTTCCAATGATGGGTCAATTCAACCTGGGCGGTCATCATGCAGAGGGCTATCTTTCGGACCATTCTGAAATCAACCGTGGCCGCTCTCCGCGTGGTCGGAGAGGCAGCTCGAAGCCGCCCGAGGATCCTACCGACCCTACTCTCCTGCAGGATATCCCTAGCTGGCTGCGGAGCCTGCGTCTGCACAAGTACACAGACAACTTGAAGGACATGAAGTGGACAGACCTGATTGAGCTGGACGACAAGCAGCTGGAGGAGCGTGGTGTCAATGCTTTGGGTGCTAGACGCAAGATGCTCAAGGTCTTTGAACAAGTCAAGGGTATGTCTTGTAATTCCGTACGAGCTCAAGTGGATCAAAAGCTGACAACCTAGTGCAGAGGCCAAAAAAGAAGGCAAAATCTAGCATTGACGGCTGTTGTGCTAGAGATACAGGATAGATGGCACCCCTGCACACCCAAGATAGGCGCCCACTGGACTCGCCAACAACAAGGTACCTCAAGCATAGCTTGTCACTGATCACGCAGGGAAGAAGTGCTGGAGTTTGCCGCGATCGCGGTCGGGATACATGATGGTGCAGCCGGTAGGAGTTACTGGCAACCCGATTTCTTTCTTTCTCTCTTTCGCTCTGTTTTAATGTCCAAAATGCAATATCTTTGTTACCTATATATGGGGACAGGAGGCAGATCTTTTTTTTTTTTTGAGTAGAGCTGAGTTGATGGGCAACAATGATTCCCACTCATTTTCACATGTCTAGGCAATCAAACAAACACATCTGAAGGGTGTTATGAGGAACCAAGTGAAGATAATCAGGTACGCGAACGTATACAACGTAAAATATCAGTGGCAGCCGTTGCGATACGGAATTTGCAGCAGTGAAAGCCCAGATCCCAAGCCTGGAATACGTAGTTAATTTGGTTAGAAAAGTGCGTGATTTATCATAGTATAGTGAAGAGCGAAGAAGTTTCATCGATCTTATAACGATGCCTCCTCTTAGGTGGAAGGTGTCTGTGCTCCAGACGGCTTCAAGTGTCCTTACCCGTCGTGGTCCGGGATAAAATGTATTGGAAGGTTGTCGTTGCCAAAAGGCCTGTCTTAAAGTGGGTCCCAGGAAAAGGGCTTGCATTGATTGGCCAAGATTTCAGGTTTCGACGACCAATCCGTCTTTCACGACTCCATCATCTTCACATTCACATCAAACCCTCATCAACATCCCAATATCGATCTCAACTTGGTACACTGATTTATCGCAAAACTGTACCTGGACTAACCCGAAAGCTGTCACGGTCCTACGCAACTTCAGTAGCGGCATTCCAGGAAAGGCCTCAGTCCACATCTTGCAGCACAGGCCTTCTTGTCTGCCCTTGGACCTCTTAGAAAAAACGGGACACAATACCCGCCGAGATTTATTATCTTTTACTCAACCAGCTCGCGTCAACAAATCATTGGCATCGCCCATAATTGCCATCGAAACTGCAGCCATTGATGGAGTCTACCAAATCATTAGACTTTGGGAACTGAGGAATCGGCCTGGTCCAACGGCCTAGGAATCGGTGAATTGGACGTTCTGCGTGAACCAGAACTGAGGCATGAGGCGATCTTCACTTTTGAGCCTACGGATCGAGATAATTACTTTAGACGCAAAGACACGCGCGAACGGGACCCTTTTAGCTCACTAGACGAGTGCCTGCTTTGCGATCCTCTCAGAAAAACCAGCACATCAAACATCGCGGATAATATCCAAACAGATCACGTCAGGCAAGGTCCTATAGCTCAAGATGGACAACAGAATGGATATCGACGACCACTCGCCAGCTCATTATGCTGGCGAAGGACAAAACGGCGTTCACAGTGCCGCCTATTTCTACAACCAGTACGACGACGACATACCACTGGACCCTGAGCTCATGGCTGGAGATGATGATCAAATGGACGGCCTTGACGACTACGATCTCGACGACGAACAGATGCAGGACGGCTTTGTCGATCCCGAAGAGGAATTTATAGACTCTGATACCGAAGAGATCCGTGCCGAAATCCACAAATTCGAAACCGTCCGCGACGCATGGTTAGCTGAACACCGTGCCGACCTCCCCTCAGCTGCTTACACAGTCCTCCCTGGCGTCTCGAAGTCGATGTCAAAACAGATCAACAACAGCCTTAAAGAAGGAAGCACCACGACCGTGGCTCCCTCCGCACCAGCACCCAGGCCCTCCAGGCCCCGTCGAAAACTCGGCCCTCGCAAGCCTCCGCGTCCTCCTCCGGAAATCCAAATCCGCATCGCCGCGGCCCGCACAGCCTTCGACCGCCGCGAGTACCAAGAAGCGATCAACATGGTCAAGGAGATCATCCGGCAGCGCCCCGCAACGCCACAAGCCTGGAACCTACTCTCTCTAATTCACGAGGAACTTGGCAACCGCGAAGCGGCGACCATGTGCTTGATTTCGGGCGCCTGGCTGATCCCCAAGGACGCGCGCCACTGGATGAACGTGGCGCTCTACTGCTTATACGGGGTCGACATGATGGACGAGACCGACCCCCGTCGGAAGCTGGCGCTGGAAAGAGCGGTTATGTGCTACTCGCAGGCGTTGCAGGCGGATAAGCAGAACGTGGAGGCAAGGACGGGGAAGGCGGATGCGCTGATGCAACTTGGTCAGAGTCACCTGGCGTTGGCGCAGTATTTGAGGGCGCTCAAGGTGCAGCCGTTGAATATCCGAACCGTAAGAAACCTCGCGGAGGCGGCGCTGGATGGGAGGGATCCAAGAAAGAATGCGGAGGCGGCCAAGGCGGCCTATAGACATATCATTGAGTATTTGTGGAGCCAGGGTGATGAGGTGTTTGAGGCGATGGAGGGTGAGTTTGAGTGGAGTGATTTGAGAATTTATCTCGAGTTCTTCACGATACTGGAGCAGTGGGAGCAAGGCGCGGCGGAGCTGAAGAGGGTCGCGAGGTGGAAGTTGGGCCGGAGGGCGGAGGAGTTCTGGGATCGCTGGCCGGGTGAGGATAGGGAGTGGGATGAGGATGATGAGAGGAGGGAGTTGTGCGAGGATTATGAACCGGGACGGTTCTCGCCGATGCAGTACGGACGGGCGTTGCCTGTGGATTTGAGGGCTAGGTTGTACGTCTTCAGAATGAAGATGGGGGACATGTACGAGGCAGAGAAGCATCTGACGTCGTTGGACCCGTCGGCGGACACGGCGGTTGAAGACTTTTACGATTTCCCCGATTGTCTGAAGGATATTGGTAATGCCCTGCTGGATAATGAATCCCCGGCGAAGGCGTTGCAGTACTTCAGCTTATACGAAAAGATCGCCGACCAGGCTGGCGATATCTCGATGGATGCAGACATCCTCGTAAGTCTCGGTCGATGTCACATGGCCTTAGGCGATAAGTCGGCCGCCGAGGAACGCTTCATTGCCGCCATTGAGGATGATGAGGATAACATTGAGGCTCGTGTTTGCCTCGCCAATATGTACGAGCACGTTTCGGATCGGGAAGGTCGCGAAGAAGCTTTCCTTCTGGTCAGAGATGCTATGAACCTCGAGGCCAACCAGTACACCCTTGACCAAGAAGGGAATCTGGTCCCCAAGAGAAAGCGTCGCAGAGCTACCGGTCCCAGGAAGCCACGCAAACCGAGAGACCCCAACAGGCCGAGAGACCCCAACAACCCTAAGAAGTACGTCCCGCGCCGTCTCATCAATGCGGAGAAGCGCAAACAGGTGGATCTTGAACGCACTAAGGTGGCGACCAAGAACTATGAAATTGTGCAGGAGTTGCAAGAGCGTGCGTTCCACAGCGACGATCCTGAAGCCATTCAGAACTGGACACGTGCCGCCAGGGACCTCGTCGAAGACTTCCGCTCCTTCAAGGAGTTCTACCCCTGGGACAAGTACGTCAAGTATCTGGGACTTGGTGGCACCGGTGGTGGCGGTGCTGCCGTGCCGTCTAGGAATTTGAAGCTGGCGGCCATGGCCGAACGTCTCCGTCAAGGCCTCAACCCCGAGAACGGCGATGGCACAGACAATATCCCTGCCGCCTCAAAGGCTCGTGTCCTCAAGTTCCCTTCTGCACATCGCGGCATCCCCTTTTCCGCCTGGCTCGACATCTTCCTCTCCCTCGCCTTTGCGCTTGTCAGACAAAACCAACACCGCGAGGCCTATGTCGTCTGCCACGCCGCCCGCGACTCCGTAGTCTGGACTGCCACGGATTCGACATATCTCATCCACGTCGCGTGGGCGTCGTGCGCCGTGTACGCCGGCGACGAAGAAACGTGCGTGGCCATTGCCCGTTACTTTATGCGCGACTACCTGCCCGGCACCGACTCGTATCGGATGTTCGCCGCCATGTGCCGGACCTGCCAGACGCCTGTAAGCTGGTACACCTCCGGTCCAGCGCAAAAGTTCATTCTCAGGCAGATCAAGACGATGGACGCCCTTGTCATGCGCCAGAACGGCCAGGACGAATTTCCCCCGCCAGCATCATCACAAAGATCACCTTCCAAATCGCAGCAACAATCGCCCCTCAAATCCCGATCCCGCGGTGACCTTGTTGCCGCACCACTCACAACAGCTTCCCAACAATCCGAATCCAACAACGACGTTGTTACCCTTAATAACCCCCAACACCCACCACCGGCAGGTGACATCACCCTCGACGTAGCCCTCTTGACAATCTACGGCCACATCCTCTTCACAACCACCTCGTACTCGTATGCGCTCTCGTACTTTGCGCGCGCCGCATCCTTGGACCCGGAGAACCCGCTGATCAACCTCTCCATCGGCCTCGCCTACGTGCACTACGCCCTGAAGAGACAAGCCACCAACCGTCAATACCTACTCACCCAGGGTTTTGCTTTCCTGTTCCGATATTACCGCAATCGTACCGAGGAAGATCCCACGGCTACCATAGGGCAGAAGATGGAGGCCCATTTCAATATGGGGAGGGCGTACAGTTTGATTGGATTGGGGAATCTTGCAGGAGGATTTTATAGACGGGTGTTGGAGGAGGCTGAGAGGGTTAGGAGGAATCAGGAAGGGGAGGAGAGTACAGAGAAAAGGAGTAGGTGGGAGGAGACGTTGGTGGTGGAGGCGGCGTATAATGTGAGGTGTATGTGTTTTTTGTTGGGGGACGTGAAGGGCGCCAAGGCGGTCGCGGAGCGGTGGTTAGTTTTGGAGTGAGTACAAAAGTAGGTAAGGAAAAGGTGAGCGAGTGAAAGGTTAGGTTACTAGCTGGCTGTTAGGAGGAAGGGAGAAAGGGGAGCAAGGGAGAGAGAGAGAGCGTTGAGAATTGAAAATGGCCGCATTTTGCTTTATCTAGGTAGAGGTAGCATAAGATATACGGTATGGTATGGTACGGTAGCATGGAACAATGTAGCATAGGTATGGTGGGTAGGCAGGTAGGCAGGTACCGGAAAACTTATAAAGATGGATGATGGCCTATTGCATCAAAGTTAGGTATACAAATGAAGCAATGAGATAACAAACTGTCCACTACCAAGTCTCACAAGGAATATTGAGGAGAGTATCACTACCTTCCAACCACATTAACCCCCTCCCTTCGCCGTTATGGTTTCTTCCGCATCGTCTTCGGGACAATTGCGGGAAAGAACGGCGGTTGGTGAAGCGGAAGGTTTACGAGCCATCGTGCGTGCCATCTTTGCCCACTTTAGTTTTGTCCCTTTCGTCCTCGCGACAATTTTATTTCATTTTCAAGGGTAAAAAAGACCAGAACGGTTCCTTCTCACACTAAGACGGAACCCAGCATGTCACGAACTATACAGCCATGCATGAACGCGGCGTAGGATCTTTCATCAAGTAGAAAGCCGTTTACGTTTCCCGCCTTTAAGTTAACTACGTCCGTAGGCTCTTCCTACGCTTAATAAAAGTGTTATTGAACAGACGTGAGACTTGGAACCCCATCCCAATATTCAGAACCCAGTCCTTCGAGTCAGTGGCCAAGCCAAATCCTATAATAAAAAGCGGTGACCCGCTCCTATTTCCATGTTGGATTTTCGCATTACCTGGCTTACTTGACTGGATCCGAAGCTTGCTCTCGCTAACCATGCCTGACTGTGCTAACTTCAAGCGTCCTATCTTTCTGTTCATTCCTCGGTTGTTCTTGAGGCAATGAAAGGCGATTGAAGCCGTTGTTTGGCGGGTTGTAGACTTACCTCTACTAGGGAGGGGTCGATGCGGTCTGGTCTAGAGAGTACATGTATGGATTGGAGCTCTCAATGATCTACACGACATAGCTTGAAAGACCTAACATATGATTTATCACTTTCGGAGTATTTCGGGGATCTTACGAAGAGCCTGGTGGCGGAAGCTTAATTTTACTGCTGGTCGTGACTGTTCTTGGGACTGTGGGAAAAGTGTGTGTGAGAGAGTGTGTGTGTTTGTTCCCCTCTATTATTGTAGTCTTTTGATATTGTTATCTGTCATTTGCAATCCATTCCTTTCTGCGAGCCATGAACGTCGTTTTGCACGTTTGTTTGCTTTTGTTTTTTTTTTTCTTTCATAACTCACTAGTGTTTCAATGGTTTAACCATGAAACGGTTCGACAGTATTACTTACATGACGAAGATGCAGAATCATTTCGAATTTTATGCCTCGCCATGATAGAACCGAACGGACGGGCATGATCTGCTGAATTGCGCTAGGTTGAAGCCTGTTGGATCATATGTGAAGTGCCTGAAGATAGACTAGTCTCACGGCGCCTACCGCTCTAACTCTTAGACCAAACTTCTTCGGCAGGCGCCAGGTGACGAATCCAAGACACACTCATCTTCATAGATCTCCTATCAAGGAACAGAACGCCTAGTACCAAAGGTCAGACGGGTAGCCACATTGCATATTCGAGCCCCTCAGGGCGCCATCGGCCAGCCGCTCGCTTGCTTGTCCAGACCCGAAGACATTATGTAAACCCCATAGGCAGGGGAAGCGTGCTACACAAGAACCCCCGCTTTCTTTGGCCACATCCAGGTTTCACAGCTTTATGAAATGGCAGGGCACTTGAAGAAAGACAGGGTCTCGGACTGAGCCGCCGCCTTTGGTGACAATGCCCGAAGGGCTCAGGGACTCAGGTTCCACAAGATGTATCCCGGAGAAGTTACACGAAAGGCTTGACATAGCTATGTGGTACCGGAGGGATAGGAAGGGAAGTGATTTACAAGAAACTGGGAGGGAAGCAAGGAGGAATATTACCGAAGAATTGGGGAGAACAGGGCAGTCGGGGCATCATCCTTGTGTAGTCGATTGCTGGGTTGTAGCAAGTCATGCCGAGGTTGTCATGGCGTTTATTTGCCATGGCGCCAATTGCGCTGTCATTTGACTGTTGCCATCAATCACTTGATCTGATTTTTTCTGGAGCGGAATCCCATGTGTTTGAACTAATGGAAGGGTTTTATTTCTTTCAACTTCAGCCGAAGTAACATTGAATGGTTCACTTGAATCCCAAGGCGTAACCAATAGGATTGGGCCAGAGATACTTCTTCCACTACCAATTGTGATCACTGGAGCGGGATGTTCCCGGGTTCGACCTCAGAAGAAACTGTCCATGATCATACTTTGTTGGGCGATTGTGTGTCTGAATCAATGGATCGCGGCAGAGGCAGGTAAGACGGCAGAGAAGCGGAATGGCCCACCAAGGACGAATAACTTTGAGGGCATTCATAGCCACGTCATGGGCTTTTCTGCGAAATACAGCTGGTCACTTCTGCCGCATGGTATCAATCATAGACGGATCAGGCAAGAGAGGCAGACCGGCCTTACCAACAAGCCGTGATTCGGCCTTTGGTCACTGCGTCAATGGCATGCTGATCATCAATATTGAAGCTGCCGGCCGTGGTGGATGTTGCACTCCCTGACGCCTCACCAAACGGGAGACAACACCGAAAAAGGGATTTTTGTTGCAGTATTGCAGTGAAGTCTGATCGCCTAGACCACGTCATCAGGCGCTGATAGGATGGTGATGGCTTCTCTCTTCCTTGGTTTAAGCAGACAATGTTGAGATTCGCAGCTCAAAGAGGCAAATGAACATGATGAATGACAAAGACATCCGACAGCTGACGAAGCAGGATGAGTTTGTGCTGCCGGTGGCCGCGCATCAGACTTGGATTTGTAGCTTACTGCGTGCGCCCTCCTATACCTTCCGGATATCCAACAGTTCAGCACCGCCACTGTCCGTTCCAGACTCGGCAGCGGAGGAAGAGGAGGTTGATGGGTGGTCGGAACGGGCGGAGGAAGACCGCGGGCCCGATGAGGGAGGGGATACTCGGGTAGGGTGCCCAATCGTGGGGGGAAAAAAAACAAGCGGTTGCACTGCCGTCCGATGAAGAGTTTGCGAGGTCTGAAACCAGCCAGCCAGCCTCTGTCTGGGTATTTGTGTGCTTATGTCTGTAGTGTAGTATGTCGTTGGACTCGGGGGTGGTGGAGATGGTGGTGGTGGGGGAACCGTGTCGATCTGGAGTCCAAGAAGAGTAAGCAAGCAGACGGATGGGTAACTCAACGCATGGAGGCGCTCGTTTTCCCGTTGGAAACCATCAGGTGGTGACGGTGAATGACCAAAATAGGACTTGTGATCTTCTAAAAGTGGTGTCGAGTTTAAAGTTACTGTTGATTGTCGTCCAGTCGAGCCCGTGCCAAGAAAGCTGTCAGCGATTGCCAGTGCCGCTGTCAAGGGCAGTTTAGCGTAGTGTAGCGCGTGGCTACTTAGCGGATATGCTGTGGAGTGGAGGCAGTTGAGACGGGCGGGGGTCAACAAGCGCGCGCATCATCTCAGAAGCCCGCGCTTGGGGAGTGAGGACTGGAAATAAAGGATCATCAACCGGGTTCAATGAGTGACAAGGTGAACTGCTTGAAGCCCACGATGTCACCGACGCCAAACAGGTCATGGTGTTGAGGTTTTCAGCTTTGGGCCCCCTTTGGGCGGGCGTTGGTTGAAACAAATAGATGCAAGTTTGTTTCCGTCACCTAACGCCCGCGCCGCAGATGGAGGGTGCGCCCGCTGCCCGGCGTTGAGGTTAGGTTGTCCCCTCACTCACTCTTTCTACCTTCCTTGGTCATTTAGAAAAGTTGGCACACGGTATGTTCAGTTGACTCTGAGAATCGGAAGTTTATCCAACACACATGATGCATCTTGCCGTTGCGAGCGACTATTCTACTTTTCCGATGCAGTGTATCGCTGTATGTAAACGCCAGGAAGGAAGTCATCGTCAACGTTGACAAACAGTACGCTAAGGTACATACCTACAGTACCTTATTCAGCAGAGTCCACTTTCCAGGCACAAACCCCACTAAGGGAGGGTACTGCTGGGCCAGTGCCCCCGTCTGCCTTAGCGCGTTTCAAACTTTGCACCCCCAAACACCCCTCTTTTCGCGGCTCCGACTGGGCGGGACGGGATTGGAGGGCGATCCGGCCAATTCCGCCCAGGAACCGCTCATCCTCATTTTTACCCCTGGGGCGCTGTGTTCCCTTCAAAAGTCGAGATGAACTGTTTGGGGAAGCAGACCAACAATCCCAAAGTTGGGTTACAGGTCATTCATTCCATATGAGAAAATTGGTCTCGGTGCCATTTGGAGAAACATCCCAACATCGGAAGCTACGGTATGATTTGCAGTCCGTTGCCGGGAAGCAACCTCCGCACAACACGCCGTGCCCAGGTTGTTGGCGGGCAAAACATGGAAGGCTTCTCGAGTTCTGCTCCATGCCAATATCAGCGGCTTTTATTCATTTATCCCGCAGTTTTACCCACAAATTCAGGATCCCGTCCAACCAGGTAGCCCAAGATAGCTGCAAGAGGTAGAAAAAAAAATACATCCTCACGTCAGCCATCAGCTATGTACGAGATATTCTGGGCCTCGATCGACAAAATCGTCACACCAACAGCCCGTTTTCCCCTCCTCTCGCTTCTGGAATCTCTTTACTTTGACGGGACCCATGACTGCGCCGCCCGCTGTTGCACTCGCGCAAACCGTTAGTATCTGGATACTGGTACGGCACAGACGGACTGACCACAGCAGCGAGCCAGCGACTGGACAGGCTGGGTAGAATACACAGAAATTTTCTGTGACTGGAGCCTCTTCCTTCCTGGGCAAAAGAGGCCGAGAAAGCAAAGACGTGGACAGTGAACTTGGCGTACTTGATACGGAGCAGCATGACAAACGTGATTGGACTGGCTGCTATGAGCAAATGCCGGCTCTCGCTAGAAACTGCAGTGCTTCGACTGCCAGCATTCATCACTTCCAATGACCTCCATCATGATCACAGACTGTCTGAACGTCCGTCCACTCCAGCCGAGGACTTGGAACCTCCCACGACCTCCCTCTCCCAGTCTCTCTCTTCTCCTCTCCCAACCGTGCCAACACACCCTTTTTTTCATAAACGGATGGTGTCCGACTACCCGTAGGTTGCAACCAAGGTTGTCGCAATCCAGGGGAAATGTCTACCAACTGCCCAATCAATGTCTTGTGGCGGCTGCAATATGCAGGTACGACCTTGGCTGCCTTTGCCCAAGCCAGTCTCCGCCTGAATCGCGTGCATTTGCACGAGTCCCAGCTCAGGTCTCAACGCATCTCCCAGGCGTGACTGTCGACTGGAGTGTGAGGTGGAGGTAACATCGATAGAAGGAAAAAAAAAAAAAAAAAAAGAAAGAAAAAATCCGTCATCGTCGACCCGGTCTCAGCCCTCCTCTTGTTTGTTGCTTTACTACCCAACCGAACCGCCGACCAGTCTATGAATGATGGTGCCGTCTTGTTTCCTCCCTCTCATTCTCATCTGTTTATCATCACAGAGAAAGCCTCGACACTAGTCTTGTTTCAAGCTGATATTTGACACTTGCCCAGCTGCGCTTGACCATGAACTAGATGTGCTCACGATGACGGTTCCATATCCTCGGCAGCCATTCCATCGCGTCAATCGGAGGGTTCACGCTAAGCCCATCACGGCGCGATAGGTGGGGGCTCCAGGGGCTTCAAGGTTCTGGGCCGCAGAAGAAGTTCAGGCGGGTCCAGAGAAGCGACCAAGTTGTGGACCTGGAATGGAACATTTCCTGTTCCTGTTTCCGACCACAAGTGATCAACACTACACTAGCAGTCACCACATGGCTAGGCGTGCATCATGACTTCAGTCGAGACCTTGGTCAGTGCCTGGAAATGATCAAGCTGCCTGCGAGGTGTCAAACAGGTGACGAAAACCGACGCCGTGACAAGGTGATGAAAAAGTCAAACTTTTTGTCGGAGGCGGACATGCAACATATGGAAAGGGTAACCAATCTGGATGTCGGCATGGAAAAAGTTGCAAGTCAAAACTGAAAGTCACTTCAGTTTAGTTTCGAACGGTGTTTTACTGTGCGGAATACCACCCGCTACACACTGTCCGTCCAGCCCTGCGCCGGCAAATCCCAGCTGCTGTTTGTCACTCCTCCCCTTCACTTCCACCTCTTTGTGCCCAGCCCGCATCCTGTTCCGATGAATGAGTGGGTGGACTGCGTTGGTAACCGTTGAGTGGTCAGAGAGGAGGTTACCAGTGAGAGATTTCAGACACCCCATGTCCTATTCAGGCACAGTCAATGGGCCGTCTTTTTATAATAAGCCCACGATACCCTCCCCCTCATCTTCTCATCTGGTCTCATCCTCGACTATCGTGGGCTTTGTCGTTCTCTTCGTTCTCCCTGACTTTCCTTTGACCTCAAGCTGCTGAGCCTGCTTAGCGCGTCCTATCTTTTTCTTTAACCACAAGCCCATTCTTCTTGGTTCTTTGTGTGCTTTATCCGCTGAGCTGGATACAACAACTGGCATTGTTCAAGCACGACATCGGGAAAATCACACGACAACTATATTGATCAGTCTCGGTGCTCCGGTCTTAGCATCTATCTTTCCACAGAGCCAATATCAACTTCGAGTCAAGACGGTCGGTCCTAGAGACAGATAGACGACACTCCACCTTTACCACTTCTTCGACGAATACCACTTTACAAGAACGACACCCATTTCAAAATGATCTTCACCACTGCCGCCCTTGCGGCTCTTCTCGTCTCCGCGGCCGCCGCAAAGGATTCCCGCACCTTTGCCGTCTTGCGTCACTACGGGAATGGCCCCCTTACCACTTGCCGCGCCGACCCGATTGTCTCTCCCGGTACCGCTTCCGCTCACCTTCACACTATCATGGGAGCCAGCAACTTCGGTCTTAACGTGACCGGAGAGCACCTGAGACAGTCCCAGTGCACGACGGCCCTGCCAAAGGCCGATATGAGCAACTACTGGTTCCCGACCCTCTACTTCAAGGACCCCAAGGATGGCAAGCTTGAACAGGTTCCCTTCTACTACATGAACGTGTACTACTTGTGAGTATCCCATGATATTGCCTCATATGGGTCGTTCCCATACTAACACAAAGCAGCTTCGAGCCGACCAATGACCAGATCAAGGCTTTTCCTCTGGGCTTGAAGATGGTGAGCGGTAATGCCATGTTGAGGACTCCTCCCCCGGGTGCTGCTTACGGCAAGGGCTCAAACATGGATCCTTCCAAGGGACCCATCACTGCTGCTTCCATCACCTGCCCCCGTGCCAACTTCAACCCACCAAGCTGGCCCAAAGACTCTGATGGTTCCATGGCTGGCATCAAAACCAACCAGGATGGTGAAGGTTGGGGCTTCCCCTTCGAGGACTGCGATGCCTACGCCTCGCCCTTGCGAGCCGATGTCCACTTCCCGTCGTGCTACAACCCCAAGGCTGGTCTGGACGACTACAAGAACAACATGGCCTTCCCCAGCGATGCCGGCAACGGCAAGCAGGACTGCCCCAAGGGATGGATTCACACTCCCCACATCTTCTTTGAAACCTATTGGGACACTCACGGATTGCTCAGTCGCTTCAAGGACCTTGTTGGCAAGGAGAGCCCCTTCGTCTTTGCCAACGGTGATGCTACTGGTTTCTCCGTCCACGGTGACTTCGTTTCCGGTTGGGATGAGAAGGCCCTTCAGCAGATCATCGACAACTGCGACGCTGGCCATGCTGGCATGCACACCTGCCCGGGTCTGATTGGCGGTGTCAATGATGACAGCAAGTCGTGCAAGATTGAGTGCCCTATCGATGAAAAGGTCGATGGCAAGCTGGACAAGCTTCCCGGCAACAACCCTATCCAGGGCTGGAAGTACGGTACCAGTGGAAGCATCAGCGGCAGCGGCAGCAGCAGCGGCAACAACCTGGCCGTGGGTGTCGACTCTGCTGTGCCCAAACCCACCAATGTCGTCAAGCAGGCCGTCACCAGCCCGGCCCCGACCACTACTGTCCTCCAAACGACCACTGTTCAGTCAACCACGACTGTTTACATCTCTGCTGTTGGTGCTGAGCCTACTGATGCTGCCACTGACGGCAAGACCGTTGGTGACTTCAAGTATGCTGGTTGCTACAAGGACACTTCGGACCGTGTTCTCAGCGGAATCATTCGCGCCAACCTTGGTCGGGTCAACAACACCGCCTGTGTGACTCACTGCAGTTCCAAGGGCTTCAGCGTTGCCGGCACCGAGTATGGCGGCGAATGCTACTGCGGCAATGAGCTCTCCAAGGTCGAGAAGTTGGATGACTCCAAGTGCCACATGACTTGCGAGGGCGACGATACCGACAAGTGCGGTGGTGACTGGGCCTTGTCCATCTACAGCAAGAGCGGCGAGGTCTCGGCCCGTGATGTTCACGCGGAGAGCCACCATCGTCGTCACATTCACAACCACTACATGCACCACCGCCGCACCCCTGCTGGAAGGATTCGCAGGTAAGATGTCATTTGGATATCTGACTGAAATCACGGGTTTCATATCTTCTCTTCACATTTACTTTTTGAGCGAAGGTTTCATGCAGAACCTCCATGGATAGGGATCATCTAGAAAGGGAAAAAAAGAAAGGGGCGCATTCGGTATGAGATACCGGGAAAGCAATTGCTTTTCCACACAGCCACACAGCCCAAAACAAACCCGGGATACAGGGCTCAGGGTCTGCAAACCATTTTGACGAATTTGAAATGACCACATCTTTTCGAAAAAAAGGAGCAAACGCCCATGGATGGTGTAGAAAGAGCAGGGCTCAACAATTCTTTTCCACTTTGCAAAAGAGACCTTTTTTTGTTTTCCTTTCGGCTTTTGCACATGTAACATACTTCACTTCTTTACCCTCGTTTGGTTGGGATTCTTGATGCCCAACACCACACATGTTTTTACCTTTGAGTTTTAGGATTCCTCTTCGAGGAAATTGATTAGCGGCCTCTTTCTTCTTTTTGTGAAGAGGACCCATTTGAGACATCACACATGCTCACATACACACACTTTGGGCTATAGTAACATCGTTTCGTGATATGCTTGTACGCTTGTAGTACCTATGCCTGCGTGAAGTGTTTGGCCAGGACAAGAACGTTGTTTGCGTTAATCATGGGGGTTGTGTTCATGTTACGTGGTACTGTACGTGGTACGTGGTGAGCAACATATCGGGATCTAAAAACGGATCTTAAGACAACAAGCTTTCCCGATTGAAGTGACAAGAATCGAAAATGTTGCGCTTGGCAGATTGACATTCAGGGTTGGTGATCATTCACTGCAACTTAAGGAACATGGAAACGACCCTCGTTCCGTGGTGGTGTTGTACCGGCCTGTTGGCTCGCCTTCAAGGGTCCAAGTTACAGGGGAAGAAACAGAGGGTCTGTGCTGAAAAAAGATGAACCGTGGAGGAGGAATGGAAGGTTTTGCGCTTAGAAGGTGGAGACACTGCACAAACAAGCTGCACAAGAAACTGGAGATTTGTGAACGTCTGCATAAAAAAGTTTATTCGATAGACTCGGAGGAAACTTCACATGAACTCGACGACATCTTCAAATTTCACAAACGACGTTTTCAGAGTCGGGGGTGAGAAATCATCTCATTTTCCGAAACATCCTTCCTGTTCTGCTATTTTCCACTTCTTTCCAATTAAATCCCCGAACACAAGGCACCACCAACGAGGGACTTGATAAACACCACCACCAAACCCAGCATGTCCCTCTACCACGAGACAGCCGCCATTCTCACGGCCGCTGGTCCCAACGCCACCCACGGCGGCAGTCTCAAGTCTCGCATTTTCAAAGACAAATCCCTTAAGTCGCCTCCCGCCCAAGTCTACGCTCTAGCCCTAGAAACCAGCAAATGGTCCGCCATCCTCAAAGAAGTCGTCGAGGCCTCGGACCTGCTCAAGCACGAGCGAAAACTCACGCCCGCTCTCTCCCTCTTGCTCGTGCACGATTTGCTGCTTTCCAAATCGGGTATCGCCCTGCCCGCCACCCACGGCTTGCGGGTCTCCATTGAACGACACAAGGCCCGCTTGAACTCGGAGTTTGTCCGCGCGCGCATACGGCGCAAATGTGCTACACTGGATGCGCTGCGGACGCAGGTAGAGATTGAAGCTAGGGGAGGATGTCCCGTGCATCCGCGGTGGATCAGGGTGAACACTTTGAAATCGACAGTGGAAGAACAGTTGGCTACGACGTTCAAGGGGTGGGAGGTGGTGGAGAGCGTGGCCGAGGTGATCAAGGCGGCCGATGCTTTCGATGGGCAGGGAAAGAAGGGGAAGAAGGTGATTCACATTGATGGACACATTCCCAATCTCATTGCCGCCTGTCCCGGGGTAGCAGATTTCACAAAGACGGAGGCGTACAAGTCCGGCAAGATTATCTTGCAGGATAAAGCTTCGTGTTTCCCTGCGTATTTGCTGGATCCTAGACCGGAGAGAGATGGAGATGTCATGGATACGTGCGCGGCGCCGGGGAACAAGACGACGCATTTGGCAGCGATTGTGCATTCACGGGTGGAGGATAATAAGGCGGTTGTCTTTGATGGTAAAACTGGCAAGAAAGGAAACAAGAAGAAGAAGGGAGAAGAGCAAAAGGGGACGACGACGATATTCGCATTCGAAAAAGACCCTCACCGCGCCAAAACTTTACAGAAGATGGTCAAAACCGCCGGCTCTGACACCTTTACTGTCGTCAACGCCGGTAAAGACTTTCTCAAGGTCAACCCTTCGGATGCCAAGTACCGAAACGTCGGGGCTTTACTTCTTGATCCTTCCTGCTCTGGTTCGGGAATTGTGGGGAGGGATGATGCTCCCACTCTCCACCTTCCCTCTGCTCCTTCCTCTTCCTCTTCCTCTTCCTCCACCATCAACACCAAAGCCAATCCCAAAGGCAAACAAAATAATAACAAGCGCAAGTCTCCGCCAACGACTACAACTACAGAGACCCAAGAACCCCCAGCCAAAGTTCTGATCGACGACGACGGCGTCGCCATTCCCGTTTCCTCCCAGGCCGACCTCGAAGCGCGCATCGCTTCGCTCGCCTCGTTTCAGCTGACCCTGCTGCAACACGCCATGTCGTTTCCTGCTGCCAAGCGCATCACGTACAGCACTTGCTCGATCCACGCGGGGGAGAACGAGAACGTGGTTTTGCGGGCTTTGGCTTCCGATGTTGCGAAAAGGAGAGGGTGGAGGGTGTTGAAACGCCAAGAGCAGGTGGAGGGGATGAGGAGGTGGGATGTTCGGGGAGAAGCCGAGGCGATGACTTTGGAGGAGGGAGTGACGGAGGGGGTAACACTGGCAGAAGAAGAAGAAAAAGAAAAGGAGGAGGTCAGGGATGCAGTGATTAGAGCCTATTATCGGGATGATGGTAGGGGAGTCATGGGGTTCTTTGTGGCGGGGTTTGTGAGGGACGGGACTATTGATGATCCGGTCTATCTAGATGATGGTGTGGAGCAGCAGCAAGAGGGCGAAGAGGAAGAACAAGAAGACCCCGAAGGACCGTTTGTGAGGGATGAGCAAGGACAGATTGTCAGAGACGAAAATGGGATTCCTACGTTGAAGAGCACGGGGAAGAAGGCGGTGGATTTGAAAGAGTTGGAGGGCGATGAAGAGAGTTCGGTGGAGTATCGTATTGAGGGGCAAGAAGAGGAAGATGAAGAGGAGCCGTACCAGAGGGATGGGAAGGGGAATATTGTGAGGGATGACGAAGGATTGCCGGTTTTGAAGGAGGGGAGGAGGTGGAAGGTTGTCAAGGGGGGGAAGGGGCAGAAAGGAGAGGGGGTGAGTGATGAGAGCGAGGAGGAGGAGGAGGGTGGTGAGGATGGTGATGAATGGGGTGGTTTTGATGATTAGGTTATATTGGAGGACAGAGTTGATGGGAAACTGGAAGCATAACCGGGTAACAACATCAGTACACAGGAGTCACATCAGTGATAGCTCTCCCCAGCGCTTCACACAGGTCAAATTCGAGTTCGCATCTGGCTGACTTGTGAGATCCGTTGTCGAATTTGACGTGTTATTACCTGTTAGGGAATGGGTCAACAGACAGGCGCCTGAGCTCTCACCGACGAATACCCATATTGAAATTGGTTTGCTTTCCGAAGCCTATTTGTAAATAGTTTCTTTGAAATCTACCAATACAGAACGGTATTCCGGGTGAGCAATTTCCCATTTGCCAAAATTTGCAACAATCAAGGAAACAAGTTGAGGTTGACAAGTCAACTCGGACTCCAAACTTGACTTGTCTTGATGATATCGAGCTAGATAAGACTCAACATAGGTAGCTTGGAAAACTGATGCTAACGGACTATCGGCTCAATCATCACGCCCAAGTGGCAACGTAACGTACTGTGTAAGTGCTACTATCACGTCGTCAGTTGACACACACGATCCGACAGTTATCGGACATCGCGGTGAAGGCGGGTAAGCACTATTGATTGCTGAGAACGCCCAGTGGGCTGATGATAATCTCAAGTAAATATGGTACTATGCGCCCCCACAACCTGCTCGTCGGGTTCCTGTTTATATCCGTGCAATCGCCAGCTGAATGATCCATGGCTTGAGTCCAACGGCGACCCGAGGCGGTGGTGTAGTGTAGTGAAGGATCGAAGATCCGGAGACTAGGTTGCCGGATTGTCATTGTCATCACCATTGCTATCGGCCACCAAGGTGATCTCACCGCACCGTGTCAAGCGAGCGAGCGAGCAAAGCTTGTCACCGACCCTGGGGAATTGGCTGGTCAACATTTCGATTCTCGAATTTGTCGGGTTGGCAGCGAGGCATGGACAAGCCGATGAGCCTCGGCTCGGTAAAGATTTCGAAGCGATTTTCAAGGATTTGCCCTGTCTGGATTCATCTTGGCGTACAAAAGTAAGCATAAATTTTGGCAGTGGACCACCTCAGTCGCGTGGGTTTTTGGTGGAGTTCTCGGGAGAAGATCAAACTCCGTTCGTGGTGGGACCGTGGTCGGCATGTCGGTGCTTGCTAGCTCCGGATCGGATTTTATCCAATGTGCACACGCTTGTAGATAAGATATGGGGGGGACGTGGCCTTGAAGGAGCCGCCGTAGGGCGCTGTCAAGCGCTGTGGCGTGCTGTAGGGCAGTTGCAACGAACGATGCGACGCTGACAGGCCAGGCTTCCGCCATTTTCCATGACTGGCAAATCAAATCCGGCAACGTCTTCCATCTCTCACGCACTTGCACCAACTTCCACTCGGGCATCGTCAACAATCGAAACATGGAACGAACCGGTCAACCTCGATAGTATCGACAGCTGTGCCTTGCGGCCGAGAACGATACCCAAGTGAAAGTCCACTTCTCCGCCCGCCCAGCTCAGCCCCATGCCCGTGTTCCTCATCCATCACCAACAGCAACAGCACGAGACGAGACGCGGTTTGATCCCCTCCTCAGCGATAAGGTAATGAGAGACCCGACGACACGCTCTCGATCCTCTGAGCCTCGAGTCACCTCCAGGTCTTGGAGGTTGGTGTGAGCGTTGGGTTGGTGGTGGTGTTGATCGGGTCCCGTCACGGCAACGTCAGCGAATGCCGTCCAGATGCACAACACCAACAGCGCAATGAACACTGCCTCTTCTGGCCACTTCCCTTTTATCTTGTTCTCGTCATTGGTGCGACACCCGGCAGCCTTGTCAGGCCACTTTCTCAAACCGTCGACATGCCAACCCAATCAAGGCCTTGCCAGTCGCACAGCAGGACCGGCCGTGAGTACCCAGCTCATACCCGTCTTGGGGTCTCATGGGAGCTTCCCGCCCGTCGTTCATCCCGTTGTGTCTCCTCCTCAAACCCCCATTCTCAGGTCCCAATGTACCACGACTTCGATATCCGCTGTGCCTCAGCCTATCAGACGGCATGTTGAAAGTCATCTGGTCTTCTAGAACACCATGGGGTGCATGAAGTATAAGTATACTATTCTAAGACACCAGGTAGTGTATCACACTTGAATGTGAGGCGGGACACCTTGGACTGTGTAGACTCCTCCACTCCACGGATCACGGAGCTTCGCTATTCACCCGTGCTCGTACTGCCCCCACCGTGATGATTGACTTGCAGTGCATGACGAGCCACTCCGCCAACGGCGAAGAGCCCCTCGGCGCCGATCGCTCGAACCCATGGGCCTAGCTAGTCCCGTCTCCCGGTAGGTGTCTCCGTGAATGGGATGTGCAAGTCACTAACCGCCCATTTCCGGAGCCATCTACCGTCGTCGTCTTCACCCTTTCTTCTTTTCCATCCAGCTCTGGGCTTATTTCACCTTGCTCTGCCCACTGTGATCCACACCTACCTTCCCTTTCTCGTCATCATGTCCGTCTTGTTCGCTAGCCACAAACCTGAGCTAGTGCCAAGGTGTCACCGCGCGGTTGCTAATCAGATATCGCCAGATCCGAGGTACCGGCGAGTTTGGGGGCCGACTATGGGTCCACCCATACACCTCCGCCCCCTGGTTACTGACAAATACAGGGGGCTATGGCTGTTTACCAGTGATCGCTTCATGGATCTGGTACCAGCATGATGGAGCCTTACACCCAACTCTCCGTACCCTGTTCGGATGAAATACATGAACCAGGCCACAAGGTGGAGTTGACGCATATCGGAACCATCTAGTACCGGGGTGGCTGTTCTGCCTGTTCGTTGCTGTCTCGAATAAATATAAGTCTGTGTGTCCTCGGCTCGTCTTGCTCAAGGAGGAAGAGAGGAAATATTCGTCCAAGCGTTATTAACACACACATGGCCCGTTACTGAGGCTCTAACCATCTAGTTTACTTTGCCTTCTTTAGTTGGCAGTCCCTCACTTCGAGTACACAGTATACCTACCCTCTTTTGTCGTTGTTGTATCAGCATCTACCCATTCGAACATACACCCTAATACCGGCCGAACCATCAGTCATCATGGCTGCCGGCACACCAAAGTCGTCCGGGTCATCGACGGCGACAGCCATGGACATCGAATGTCAAAACACCCAAGTCAGCAGAGTCTCGCATTGGTACCTCCTACTCAACCCCGGTGGAATTACAGATGCCGTCCGCAACCACCACTATGAGGGCGAGGGCACACACGAAAAGCCGTATATCGTCGACTTCCTCCCCGTTGACGGACACAACGCCATGCAATATCCCAAATGGAAGAAGTGGACCATCACCATCCTACAGGCCGTCGCCACCTTGGCCGTGGCCTTTGTCAGTACCGCCTTTTCTGGAGGCATCAAGGAGATTATTATTGGGTTCGGGGTCAGCACAGAGATTGCCATCTTGGGTGTTTCGCTATTCGTCCTTGGTTTCGCTGTTGGACCGGTACTATGGGCGCCTCTCAGCGAGTTCTACGGTCGCCAGATTCTCTTCTTCCTCACCTACATGGCCTTGACAGCATTCAACGCTGGCGCTGCTGGCGCTCAGAACATCGAGACCCTCGTCATCCTCCGATTCTTTGGCGGTACCTTTGGTGCTTCGCCCTTGACCAACTCGGGTGGTGTTATTGCTGACATGTTTAATGCCAAGGGTATGTCATCCATTCTATGCTTCACATTTTCTTTCATCTAATACTAACTATTTACAGAGCGTGGTATTGCCTCTAGTGTCTTCGCCATGGCTCCCTTCTTGGGTCCCTCCATCGGCCCTATCGTCGGTGGCTTCTTGGGACAAGCGAAGGGCTGGCGCTGGGTCGAAGGTGTTATGGCCATCTTTACCGGCGTCCTCTGGATCGCCTGCTCCCTCACTGTCCCCGAGACATACGCTCCCGTTATCCTCCGTCGCCGTGCGAAGAACCTTAGCAAGGAAACCGGTAAGCTCTACGTCTCTCGCCTCGACCTGCAGACTCGCCACCAAACCGTTGGACAACAGATCAAGATCTCGCTCCTTCGCCCCTGGATCTTGCTCTTCACCGAGCCCATCGTTCTTCTCACCTCGCTCTACATGGCCATCGTCTATGGCACCCTCTACCTCATGTTCGCCGCCTTCCCTATCGTTTTCCAGCAGATCCGCGGCTGGAGCCCTGGCATCGGCGGCCTTGCCTTCGTCGGTGTCGCCGTCGGCATGATGCTCGCAGTTGGCTACTCCATGTATGACAACAAGCGCTACTCGCGCGTCGCCGACAAGCACGGCGGTATGGCGCCCCCTGAAGCCCGCTTGCCCCTCGCCATCGTCGGCTCTATCTTCCTTCCCGTCGGCCTCTTCTGGTTCGCGTGGACCAACGGCCCCGAAGTGCACTGGGTTGTGCCCATCATCGCGTCTGGCTTCTTCGCCGGCGGCCTGGTCATGGTCTTCCTCAGTCTCATGGGCTACCTGATCGACTCGTACACCATCTTTGCCGCCTCCGTGCTGGCCGCCAACTCGGTCCTCCGCTCACTTTTCGGCGCCGCTTTCCCCCTTTTCACCACCTACATGTATGCCGACCTTGGTATTCACTGGGCTTCGACCATCCCTGCCTTCCTCGCGCTCGCTTGCGTGCCGTTCCCCTTTTTCTTCTGGAAGTACGGCCACTTGGTCAGGATGAAGTGCAAGTACGCTGCTGAAGCGGCACAGGCGCTCGCAAAGATGCTGGCGGCTGCCAAGGCGAGACAGGAGCAACAGGAGGGTAGGAGCGGAGCTGCTCTACATCAGCAGCCGCAGGTTGCTGTCCCCGCCGGTGTTGCGGAGGAGAACGAGGAGGTGTTGGAGACGAAGGAGGCTTATTCCAACATGCCTACGGTTTCGGCCGTGAGTGATGATGAGAGGACAATGCACGGGTCGGGGAACACGACAGAATTGGAGGAGGAGAAGGTTAGAAGAGGGTATGAGTGAAGGGGTTTGACTTTTTGGTTATCTGGTCCTTACATCTTGTCTTCCTACATTCACTTTTCGCATATTGTTTGCGTTTGGATATACCATTTGGGTCTTGGATGGATGTCATGGTTCATTGCATGCATGGCGAAACACGTTTGACGACACTTTTTATCTTGGGTTTTTGACACTTTCTTTCTGGTTCTTTTTCCTGGATACGATACCAAACCTGGCCAGACAGCCAGCGGAACATGAACACATAGATGGTCAGTGGGTTATAGATGGGAAAAGTTGGTTGATAAGCCCAAAATTGGCAATAGACATAAAGATCTGGTGAATATTCCCACTTTACACATTTCATATTCTTGCCGATCTATCATCCTCACGGGGTTAATCCCTACGTACGTGCTTGTGTTCATGTCACGGATGCAGCCAGCATTACCCTGAAGACAGCTGTCGACATCGAACCTTCAGGGGCGCAGCAAAAAAAGAGGCTCAAAGCGGCATACAGCATAAAGCACAAGGTAAGAGGCGAGGTACATGCGCAAGTATGCACCTGTTCTAGATGCATAACTACGTATCTGCCTGCTCCTGTCATGCATGCTTTGACTATTGATTGACAATGCCTCGCAATGCTCTGCATGGAATGGGCCACTTTACCTCCCGTTGCCACAGTCTACGATACATCGCTTTGACAATGATCATTGACGTCTGCAGATATTCAAGGGATTGATTTCTTTCGTTACTACCAAGTATCGCATACATTCGCTTTTGGTGACCTTTCCGAAATCCGGACAACTCAGTTCCATGGAGAGGCGGAGGTGGGAAGGTGCTGCCAACAAGCACTTTCCCCGAGCAGTCCAAAGGACGAGGCGAAAGGAACCATAACGGTCCGGCGAAGAGCAGGAACAAAGATCAAACCGGGAAAAGAAGAGAGATATGATACCAGGTTATTTACCGGTCATCACCGCTCCGACTACTGGTCTGGGGGGTCACTGACTTTTGTCGGGGAGAGCTGACGGGATGCCGAGTTCTTGCCCAGTGTCTACCTATGGTCATAGATATTTCGTGCTAGAATGGGGATCGAGGTCATGAAATCTTCTTTATATCATCAGTATCCAAAAAAAGTCGTTACCAGTACACCAAATTCACAAAGTTCAAACAACCATCATAGGTAACCACTTGGCTCTCATCCAGCAACCCCCAGACCTAAAGCTTCGAACCCTTCTTCTTCTTTCTCTCCTTCGCACTATCATACCTAGCCCCCTCATCATCTTGTTCCTCCACCGTCAAATCCGGCAACACTCTGGGCATGATCCGTCTCGGCCTACTACCCTTCACAACACTATACTTTTCAAAATCCTTCACCCCCCACTGCTCCCTGAGGAAATCCTCATCCAGCAATAACTTCCCATTCACCTTTTCCGCGGGGCTCTCCAAGACCCCCAAAATCGCATCCGAAAAGATCGTCGCATGTCTCAAATCCCCCCGCAACTCCGAATGTTTTTCTTCCTGTTTGTTGGCAGTAGCAGCGCTCTCAATCGCCACAGCCGGCCAGATCCCACTCACCGCCATGCCCTTCTTCCTCGTCACGACGCCATCCCCTTCCCCCGTCGCCGTCTTGGGGGACACCACGCTCTCGCGCTCAAAATCCATGGCCAACCCCTTGACGAGCACGGACATGGCGACTTTGCCCATGGCGTAGGCCGTCTTGCCCCGGAAAAACCGGGAGTAGATGGGCGGACAGACTACCACGATTCGCCCACCATAGGTAGACTCGTGCAGATACGGTAAGGCGAACTGAATAGCTGCGTAGAGCCCGTCGGCGTTGACGCGCTGCATGAGCTGGTACCGCTTGAGCGGAGTCGAGGAGACGGAGGACCACCAGATTGCGCCCGAGTTGTAGATGAGGACGTCGAGGTGGCCGTAGGCTTTGATGGTGGAGGCGATGAGGATCTTGAGGGATGAGCCGGTGGGGTCGCTGGTGTCGCAGGGGATGGCGAGGGCAGTGCCCGAGTGGAGAGTGGTGATCTCGTGGGCGACGGTGGTGATGGTGGAGAGGGCGGAGTTGGGGTCCGGCGGGAAAGGGGAGAGGGACGCGAGGGCGGAGGGATCGGTGGTGGATTTTGCGGAGACGACTACTGTATACCAGGGGGTTGGGTCGTATATAAGCGAGGTGTTGCTGTGTGATGTGGTTGTAATGGGGAGGGAGTGAATAATCCTTACCCGCGTATCCTTTCTTGGCCAGGTCAATGGCTATTTGGCGTCCTATTCCGCGAGAAGCACCGATCACGAGAGCCACTGGCTTGTCAATGGGGGAGGCCGCTACTGGTTTGTCTATTGAGGGGGCCATGGTGTTTGAACGTTCAATGATACTTGACTGAATACAAATCTCCCAATATATATGAGTTGAGGTAACAAAGAGGACACAAAATGAGCAGGGAGAAGTTGATAGATACGCAAGCTATGACGGTTGCTTTTTGGAAAAGGATCTCGGTCGATTATATTATTCATGTCTTGACTGAAGCCAGATAGATTGGTAAAGTCCGCATCAGTGAGGTCATTCTCGGTATTTCGCCCGCGGGACGTTGTGATTACTGATCAGCGTTGAGCTAGAGATGCCGTGTGGGAGCGTGGGACGTCAGAGTTGGAGATCAATGCCGCGGTCCGGTGCGGGGGCCCCACATCTACGGAACATGGAACCGCAGCCGATGCTGCCATAGAGCCGGTTGGTGTAGCCGGGGATTAACGGGCCGCGGAGCGGGGACCATAAGTTTTTATTTCAATGTCATTTTCAGTCTTCTTCAACAATTATTCTCCATTAAAACGAGTCTGAAGTTCCCATGGATTTCTTTCCGCCGGAGACGGCATGATTAGCCCCAAACGCTGGACGAGGGAAACTGAGACCGACAGTGACGGGCAAGATATGATGATGCTTATAGCCAAAAAGCAGTTCATATTCATCGATGATACAAAAAGGTTGAGGAGCGTTTCTGACAAGACAAAGGGGAAAAGTCGTACGACTGCTTTGCTGGTTTAGTGTACTTGGGGGTTTCGTTCGCTACACACTGTGCATCCATCTGTCTGGATATAACTGGAGGTTAATATCACACACTGTGAACGCTGCAGGCCAAAGTCGCAATGGTTTTGGATGCCGTAGGATACTACCACCCTGTGACAACTATTTCGGTGGACTGAGTAACCTTTGCAAAGTCTTCGAACGGCCTAACTTCCTACTTGAGTTTAATTCCTCAAAACCCCTCCCGTGCCCCTGCTGCTGAAGGATGGGATTCTCTGGGTTCAAAATGAGCGTGGGCGCCGGCGACTCGGTACCTTCCGTATTCCACGAGATGAATCAACTCTTTTTCCTTCTGACTTCTTAACGTTTCTCTCTGTCTTGCCTGCGAGACAATTTCCAACCATGAGTACCTCGGCAAAAAGAAAGGCAGTGTCGCCAACTCCTGGATCTTCACCTCCGGCGAGGCCGGCGCCTGCTGGCCCGACATCTCCCGCCGCCGGATCGCCGGAGGCTGCTGGCGTATCATCATTTCCGGCCGCACCAGCCAACACAGATGATGCACTCACCGGTGCACATTGGCTTCAACAGGGAATGCCAGAAGAGGATGATCAAGACGCAGACTCCAGCCTGGGAAGCGATGTCGAAAGCTCAACTGCTTCTATCTCATCGAGCATTTTCAACTACCGTATGATCAATGGTCGTACCTATCACAGTGACGCTGTAACGGACATAGAATATTGGGCGCCCAACGATGAGAAGCATCTCGACAGCTTGGAGATTTATTATCATGGTGTCGAGTTGCTCAACGACCATCAGCTGCACATGTCGCCGCTCAAAGACAATATCGAACGTGTTATTGACATCGGTACAGGCGCGGGCTTCTGGGCGATTGATTTCGCTGACAAGTATCCCAACTGTGAGGTGATTGGCACCGATATCTCGCCCATGCAACCCAGCTGGGTGCCGCCCAATCTAAACTTCGAGATTAGTGATGCCTCGAAAGAGTGGACTTACAAGCCGAACTATTTCGATCTTGTTCATGTTCGATTTTTTGTGGGCGCAATCGAGGATTGGAACGCGTTCTATAGAGAGGCATTCAAAGTCTGCAAGCCGGGTGGCTGGATTGAACATTACGACCATTCGCCCGTTGTAACTTCTGACGACGGAAGCGTGGTCCCGGGGTCTGCTATGGATACGTATGGCAAGGTGCTCGCGGAGGCTGCTCGGAGAATTGGAAGATCAGCTACCCTTGCCGACGACGATACCATGGAGGAAGGATTGAAGGCGGCTGGGTTTGTTAACATCCAGACGAAGAGGATGAAAGTGAGTTTAACATCCTATCCACTCAGTGATTGACAGACAGGACCAAACACTCTTCTTTCGCGCATTGGCAGCAATTATGCTGGATCTTTCTTGTCAATCACAATATCTGTTTGAGCAGTCGGGATTCAGCTGACCTGTGGACACAGATGCCGTTATCTCCCTGGTCGGATGACAAGAAGTTAAAGGAGGTCGGGCTGTGCGCTTATTCCACACTCTCGGCAGATGTCGAAGGCGTCGTCCAGTACCTGTTCGGTAACGTCATGGGCTGGACGCCGGAGGAGATCAGCGTGTTTGCTGCTCATATGCGCCGCGAGCTGAAGGACAAGAACATCCATGGATACTACCATTGGAAGTATGTATGGGCGCAGAAACCAGAGGACGCTCAGTAATTTCAGGTGGTCGACCCAGGAGTGTCATGGGAGCCGAGTATACGGGGGCTGGCAGTTGTGTATACTTTGGGATGAAGATTGTGTTGATGTCGACTTGCAACGACTTTAAGCAAAGACGAAGACGATGGAAAGCCCCGCGTGGGAAGGGATAGCGAGAGGGGCCGTGATAATCAGTAGGAAAGGAAAATTGATGTCGCCAGGAGAAAACGTGATCTTATAGCTCGGGCTGTCACGGAATAGCATCTGCTTGCCGAAAACATGTGTGTTTTGTTGAAAGTCTCCAAGCTTGGCTTTGGGGAGGAAGAGGGGACCTAGCTCCCACTGCCGCGGTCACTTTATTGACGACCTCTGATTGGTCAACTGTGTTCGTGCCTAGAACGGTACGTCGGTACCTCCCCAGCCACCACCAACGGCGACCCTTCACGCTTCAGCTGGTCCAGGAGCATGGTCCCCCAACCCCCTGAACACATACATCCGCGCGCATAAGCAGTCACGGTATGATGGCCCCCTGTACCCTACCAAGTCTGTACACTTCGAACTAGTGATTCTTGCTTTATGTTGTAGTTTTTTCATCCGGTTTGAATCTTTTTTTTTGTTGGTTTTTGCTATTTGAGATACCCTTTTCGTTCCGTTGAGCGCATTGTGAGGAGCCTACCTACATAGTATCTGCTTGGGAACCACGGATCGATCGTTCGTTATACAGAAACCGTCTGAGTATTGCTTCCAGACGGTGTTTATGGTCTACATCTATCTGTCAAGTTAAGCAGAGCCAAATTTGACTCTGAGCTAGACGGCCTTAACCAAGATGGCGATTCCTATGGAAAGGTTAGGCGATAGAGGTATGTGCCACATCCATTGTGTTTGAGAAGGGAAGAACATGAGCTCACCAAGAATTTCACAGCCTTCAACCACAGGACGAGTGTAGAAATTGAGAGTGAATATGACCGTTTGCGCGCTGAGGCCCGGGCGGAGGGTGATAAGATGAAGAGGTACTTCGACGAGGTATGTTTCGTCGAACCTTTCATCCGTTTTCTTTCATCTCATCTCATCTCATCTCATCTCATCTCCATCCCATCTCACCTATTGGTTCATCCGATCTCACACATTACCAAAGCCACACCTCACCCCCACCTACTTGTACAGTAGAGTAGGTAACTAACACCTCCCCTCCCTCCAGGCCCACCAAGCCTACGAACGCGGCGACGGCGCCGAAGCCAAAAACCTGTCCAACCTCGGCAAAAAGCACAAAGCCAAGCGGGACGCACTTAACAAACAAGCAGCCGAGTTCATCTTCCGGGAGAACAACCACCCGGAGCGCGTGGCCGCCGACACCATCGACCTGCACGGTCTCTATGTCGAAGAAGCCGAAGACATTTTGGAGGCACGCATCCGCGACGCCCAAGCCCGCGGACAAACGCACCTGCACGTCATCGTCGGCAAAGGTAACCACTCGGCGGGCGGCGTACGCAAAATCGCCCCGCGTGTGGAGCAGGTGTGTCGCGAGATGGGACTCAACTTTGCCGCGGAGGAGAATGAGGGACGGATTTATGTTGATTTGACGGGCGGTAGGGTCGATGGTCTGCCGGGCTTGCCGCAGCAGCCACCGGGGTATCAGCCTGGAGGGGGGTATCAGTCAGAGGGAAGGCCGAACCAGCACCACGGAGGAGGTGGGGGAGGGTATCCGGGACAGCAGCAACAACAGCAGCAGCAGCACGGACAGCAACATCACCAGCAAGGACAGCAGCAGAACCAGCAGGAGGACGATATTTGGGCAGATTTGTTGGGGGCTTGTTTCAAAAAGTGCTGCGTTGTTATGTGAGGGGGATTATGGCAGACGGTGGATGGTATTGGAGGTTACGTGTTATACGGTTTTGGATTTCATGTTGGGTAACGACGACATCGGCTATGTTGGATTTGATGGTAATGATTTTGAGATGAGCGAGCGATTCCAAAAAGTGATTCTGCGCAGTTGGATTGGCTAGACTTAGATATCTGTTTTGAGAGGGTTTTCAAGAGATACCATGTTTGCGAGCGAATGATTGTAGTACTGAAGATGAGATTTTTGTTTGTAGAGACGATAAAGCATCTCCAGAGAGGATCTAACATATTGTCACAACATTTCCGATGAATATACCGTAACGACCTATGGTCAAGCTGGGTTGCCATCTTGAGTTCGTGTGCAAAGGGCAGCGCGAGCGAATATAAACATCAAAACAGTCATGGCAGGACGGGTATACAAATTGAGGAGCCGGAAGCTGAACGACCTTGATTGACCTGACAGTCTGTAATCTATGCCGTTATGTAAACAATCCACGCAGTTAAGAATCTTTTCCAGTCACTCGTCGATGTGCCGTTTCCCTCCTCTTCTTGCTCACTCCACACCTCAGATGCCCATTGCTTGTCTTTCCCGTTTTCCTACTCTTCTGCTTTCTTTGCTCATCATTGGCCTACCCTCCATTCAAAATTTCCGTCTCCAATCGGAAACATGACATGGAATAACGTGTTTTTGAATTGACTGCCGGGAAATCAACCAAAACCCGACTAGAGCACGCCACAAGTGACGCTTGCAAGAAAGAAAATCGCATAACCCAAAAGAGACACTATCAAGAGTTCGTAATCTGTGAATTAAACAACACGGCCAAGAAATAAGAAGTTAAGCTATCATGAAGAGGGCCATGGAAGAGAAAAGAAAGGAAGAAGGCAAAGACCAAAATTAGGCTGGAGGCATTGTCAAATTGCCTCCTGCCTTAAAGAGGAGGGTTTGGGGCTGGACCTGGGTATCGCTGGTAGATTTTCGTCCGTGCCACTATCGACATACGAGTCTGAAGAAAAAATATCAAAGTATCTGTCCCGGCTAAGATTCGTCTTTTCCCCCATTCCATCCAATCAGCCTAATGATAAATTCTCTAGGAAGCCTCCAAACGAAGAAACGGAAAGGTGTTGGTAGTGGTTTTATGTGGATAAGGCTCTTCATGACCCTTGATCCTTCGGAAGAAACCAAAATTCTGCTGTGATATGTCGAAAGGTTATATATGTGGTGATGATACTTTCGCATGCGAATCGGGTAGCAACAGTATATCCACGCAACTGCGTGGTTGTGCGGACAGTAATGACCCATGCTGGGTCCAGGATTGATGGTCGAGTTGCCGGACGGGAAGATTTTTGCGTCGTGAAAAAGCCGCATGATCAGGACGAAGCCGACGGGGCCATATGTATGCCCATAAAGTCCTCTAAGTCCGGAACGAGTGAGAAGTTCTCCAAATGTAGATCAGGGGCGTTTTCTTCCTATGCGCCCGCATCTTCACCCAAGCCCTGCTGGCCAGGTCCTCCGGGGTTCCCTGACTGCTCCTGGGAGCTAATAAGCTCCTCATAGTCGACCATCTTCAACGCCAGTTTTTTGGCAGCGCATTCCATGAGAATAAGTTGCCGGGTAGCCTTGTCCGCGCTCCGTACCTCGGACAGGGCCCGATTCAACATGTGCTGAAGCATTGGATTGCTCATCGAGGGAGCTGCTGGAGCGATAGCACTCACGGGAGCAGGAGCAGCAAGGGCAGCATGGGTACCAAGCGGGTGAGGAGTGCCAAAGCGAAAAGCATTGGGGTCAGCCGAAATATTGATTCCGCCGTTTGCCCCGTTCGGCAAGATCGCCGTATTGTGTTGCTGCTGCTGAGAATTTTGGGGATTGCGCGTTTCTGAGACCGTGGGATTAGTATTATAGCTTATCGTCACACTTGCAAGCATCCGAGGAAAGCTTACCGTGAAAACTGCATCTGGCACCACTGGCGTTAAACCAGCAATTGGCACAGCTGCCACACATCTGGCCGTCCACCACGATGCAGCTAGTCCATGGACCGTGGCCCTTGTGGCAATTCTTACAAGGGACGCGAGCCGGCTCACCAGCAATGTGAGCGAACAAAGCTTCAACATTGCTTCTACGTGCCAGGTTCAGCACTTGCTCAGGGCGCCTCTGCTGGGCAAGACGATGACCCGGCTCACGAGCCAATCTCTTGGCAAGAGCACTCTCGACGTTTAGCTGGCCATAACCGGATTCATGAGCCATATCCTCCGTGCTCTTGGATAGCTGAGGGTCCATTGAGTGCTGATGAGGGGACGGCTGCATCTGCTGGGGCTGGCCCATGGGGGCTACCGGGGGTTGGTGCTGATGTTGATGAGGATGGGCCTGGGGCTGTCCAAGGCCCTGAAGCATATCGGCCTGCTGCTGTTGCTGTTGATGCTGCTGCTGCTGTTGTTGCTGATGGTGTTGATGTTGTTGCTGCTGGTGCTGGTGTTGTTGATGTTGAGAGTGGTCCTGGGGAGAGGGTTGAGGCACACCACCAGGGGCACCTGGGTTACCTAGCATGCCGGCACCACTAAGATCAACATGGCCGCCGAGTCCCGAGTTCGCAGCGGCAGAGGCATCTTGGTCCTCCATCTCAGCGTCAACATCTGGCTCGCCAGTGCCATCATTCAGGGAGCCGGGTTGACCAAGACCCGTCTCCATGACGGCAGCAGCAGCTGCGGCAGCATACTCTTCGGTACCCATCCTGGCCGTAGGGTCGTCGTAGGCGGACGGGTCTGGCTTGAGGGAATCCTGGTCAATATCAGGCTCCTGATGTTGCTCCTGTTGATGCTGAAGATGATCCTGGTTTTGATCTGGCTGATGCTGTTGCAGGTGATGGCTATGGAGGTCGTGCTCCTGAGCCTGCTGATGCTGGAGCTGAAGCTGGGCCTGAAGTTGGGGATGGATCTGGTTAACGTGGTTAGGGTCCTGGTCGGGGCTCAGGTTGGTAGCCAGATTTTGTTGTTGTTGTTGTTGGTGCTGCTGTTGTTGCAGCTGCTGTTGCTGTTGGAACTGCTGGAGCTGAGCTTCGTGAGCAGCAAGCTGCTGGACCAGTTGGCTGTTTCGGACCAGCGAGTGAGGACTGGCGCCAGCGCGAGAACGTGCCGGGGTGGTCGGCTTGGTCACTTTGGTTGGGCCGGGGCCCGGAGTCAGTCGCGAGGCTGGGACTTGGCCTTGGCCGGGGGCAGAGCCGGCCTGAAGTCCCACGGAGCCGACCTGGACCTGGCCGACAGCTCCGGGAACCTGACCGACAGCACCGCGCTGGACACCGGATCCGGGGCCAGCGACAGGGCGGATTGGCGATGGTTTCATACTCGTCCGCTTGGGACCGGGTTGCTGGTACCAGTTGGCAGCAATGACAGGCGGTTACCAGGTGTCGCGAGCTGGTCGTCGCTGTATGGGCTGGTAATGGCGCTTGGTAGGGTGAGTTGGTGTTGAGCAGCTGTCATCAGCTGGTGTTCCAAAGGTCGGGCGACAAGTTTGGGGAGGAGAGGAGAGAAAGGTGCGGGTGTCCAAGGAACGGCTGGATCGGCGGGACACCGCTCGACGGACGCGACATTTTAGCTGGCGGGCAGTCACCGGCAGGCAACCAGCAGCCAAAAGGTGGCGGCAACTGCGAGCCAGTGTCCATCACTCGACTTGTGCAACTGTGCACAGACGCCCACCTGCTATGTCAGAGCGCACAAGCCACAAAACACTGACAACGAAGAATAATGGTCCAATCATGAAATGTGATCCGTGCCTTCTGCCCCTCCCGCCTCGATCCTCGTAGATGGTCAAGTGCCATCAAAAAAAGTGGAGTAAATCGCCCGGTGTAGGAAATCAAATTGTTTCCCCCAAAGTCTAGAAATGGAGCGTGTAAGAGAGTCCGGATGGAGTGGGAATGATGACTAGTATTGATATGATGTATGTCTGTTCACGGTGCTGGCCTGATAGTAATCGTAGAAACGGGAAGTGGGGAATGGATGAAGTTCCGAGTTAGACCACCAGCTGATACCTATCCACATGTATACTGGCGTAGGTCAAAAGCTCTGAACCGAAGCTCACACATTCCATCGATACAATCTGTAAGTCTAGTACACAGTAAGAGCGGGTTCTCTCTGATGATTCATACAGCCCGCAACAGGGACACACCATACTTAGTTTAGTAGTCACTTTTCTGTCTCCGCACCCACCAAGCGCTGCTCCAAACAGCTGTACATCGGAATATACACTTATTGCTGGACAAGACAAGCATGGTATAAAGCCGTTTTCATTCAAATAAGCATGTATTGCTCATTCTTGGTCTCAAAACGCATCCGGACCGCGATGAAGAAGTGGTGCTTTGACTTCGAGGTGAGTGTCTTACATAGGAGACGGCTGTCCAAGTTGTCTTGAGGCTGACATCCGTCTATTACAACAAAGTTATTACACTATTTTATGTTCATAGATATCATATACGCATCCATACAAAAGAACAGATCCAACCATCGCATCACTTCTTCTTGGGATGCGTAAAAGGATGCCCCTTTTCCCTCGCCCACTTCACAATCGTTGAGTTCATCCCCCTCAACACGAAGAAGTAAATGATCGGTATAAACCACCCCATCAACGTATCCAGCACCCAGTTGTTCCTCGGTGACCCGCCCATGATTCCGCACTGCATCAACCTTCCCAGGAACGACACATCGACAAAGTACTTACCAGCCTCCAGCCCCGCAATCGCCCTCCTTGCTACCGTATCCGGGCTCTCTGCCGGCTCGTCCTTCTCCAGCTCCACCGTGATGTCCGGCTTCGTTTGATTCTCCCTCTCGTAGCCCGGCGATACAATCGTGCCGGGATACACAATATGCACCTTGACCGGGTTATCCGGGTAGTAATTGACTTCCATCGTCAGGGTATCCGCCAGTCCTCTCAGCGCCCACTTGGTTGGGGTGTACGGGCCATAGCCCAAAATCGCAAAAAGCGCCAACATTGACGCTGTAAACACCAAGTGCTTCGGCTCTCCCTTGGGTCCCGTGCTGTTCTCGGGTGCCAGCCACTCCCTCAAAATCGCCCGCGACATTTCCGCCGACCCAAAGTAGTTGACGTCCATGTTGCGGCGTGCGGCCGCCATGCTGTCATCGTCGGTCCACAGCAGAGGCGTCGACATGCCGGCCACGCACCAGACGATGTCCGGGGAGCGCCCGCCATTCCAGGCGATGGCTTCGGCGAGAACCGCGGCGGCGTAGTCGTGCTCGGAAACGTCGGCTGAGATGTAAGTGAAGCGTTGTGTGGACGGGTTCTTGGCGGCGGCGCGGACGTCGACGAGGGCTTCTTCAAGGCGCCCGACGTTGCGCGAGACGAGGATGACATTGGCGCCCTTTTGCGAAAGTTGGATGGCCGCTGAGCGGCCCATGCCTTCGGAGGCGCCGGTTAGGAGGACGGTCTGGTAACAGGGGTTGAGTTAGTGTTGCTTGGAGGTCGGGTCAGGTCAGGTTAGGCTTCGGGGCGCATACCCGGCCCTCGACTGGCATGTGGTTTTTGGCGCTGAAGAGACCCATTGTAGCAAATATGCCAATTGCCGCGACGATAGCTGCAACTGGAAGAGACCAGGAGGTGCTGAGGGTTTTCAGTTGTTCCATCAACGGCTCTGAGAAGAAATGATGGTTCATCCTTAGATCGTGGAAGAAGATCGGGCTCGAGGAAATTGTTGACGCGGCGCGCCTAAGCTATTCTAGAGAACGAACGAGTACCTCTACGGCGTAAATTTAGTGGATGCTGTCAGCAGTTCCCATCTTACTGGAGCTTACACCCCTGTCTGTAAGTGACTTGTTGATGGGTGATGATTTGGCCGATTTCTTCGCATTCCGTAAGAAAATTGAAGCTTCTGGGAAGATATGCAGAGTTTTACGCTTTCGAGTCTTCAGAAGCGGTTTTCTCTACTGTCATAACCCATTGAGGTCATGTCAACGTAAATCTGGCAGGCCTGGGGGGGCATCTTGGAGCTTCCCGTCGACCCTGAGGACGGGATGGAAGCTTTGACCATTTCAGATGTAACTGTGGAGCATCTTCAATTGTGGGGTCAGGCGGCCTGCATAAGAGTGGAGCTGGGCGGTCGAGGTCCCGCTGGGAATGGATCGCAAATTGACAAGAGCAAAAAAATTCTGCCGCTTCAACATTTGTTGCCCGCCTAGCGAACGAACCCACCAGCCCATTCAACGAGCATCTCCAAGTGCTTTTTTGCAGCGTTTTCACGTCAACGTCTCTCAGTCGTGCCAGACACCACCCAACCCGCCTGAATTGATAAACGCGACACAACCGCGAAAATGGCCAAGAAGAGAAAAGCCCCGAGACCGACCGGCCCCGCCGAGCCTCGCGAGGTCGACGCCAAGGACGCCCGCCTTACCGTCAAGACTTACAAAGATGTCGCCAACTCCGAAGACGAATACTGGGAGAACCAGGATCGCATCGACTTTGACGACAGCGATGATGGCAGACAATCCAAGCGCAGGCGCCAAGATAAGGAGGAGGAGTTCCTAGAGGCTTCTGACGAGGAGGTTTTCGAGGAGAACGAATCCGATGAGGAGAGCGAACACGAAGACGCCGCGCCCGCGAAGGGCAAGAAGGTCAAGACAACAGTACTTTCCGACGAAGAGATGGGTGGTGAAGAGGAGGAAGAAGGCGACGAAGGATGGTGGGGTTCCTCCAGAAAGGACTACTACAATGCCGACCAGATCGAAACCGAGGCCGATGCCTTGGAGGAAGAGGCTGAGGCAAAGAGGCTCCAAGCCAAGAAGTTAGCCAAGATGTCCGAGGCCGATTTCGCGTTCGACGAGAGCGAATGGCTAGGAACCAAGGAGGAGGCCGAGGGAGAGGAGGACGTCATTACCGAAAAACTCAACGAGATCGAAGTCACAGAGGACATGGGGCCGGAAGAAAGATACAAGCTTCTACAGAGCCGATATCCCGAGTTTGACTACCTGGCGCAGGAGTTTAGGGAGCTGCAGCCGATTCTCACAACTCTTCAAAAAGAGGCCGAGGGCAAGCCTGCCAAGTCTCTGGAGATGGTCAAGTTCTGGACTCTTGGGTGTTACATCGCTTCACTCGCCAGTTATTTCGCTATTCTGACTTCGCCAGCAAGAGACAGCCAAGGTGTTTCCAAGACGATCAGCCCTACGGAACTCAGGGACCACGAGGTTATGGGCACCTTAATGAGCTGTCGCGAGGCCTGGCTCAAGGTCAAGGAACTTAAGCCGCTCAAGAGCGTCTCCTCGACCAGTGGCATGCTTTCGCCACCCGAAGATGAGGGCGAGTATGATGACCTGTCTGACGACGATATGGAGGACTTCAAGAAGATGCTCAAGAAGAACAAGCGCGAATCCAAGACTGAGCTCAAGGCCAAGGCCAAAAAGGAGGCCGAGAAGGCCAAGAAGGCCAGGGCTGTCGAGCAGTCTCTTGCCGATCTCTCCAGTTTGCTTGAAACCACCAAGACGGCAACCAAGGCCAGCAAGAAGTCTGTCAAGGTCGACAAGCGCGATGACGATGAGCGCTCCGACTTTGGTGACGAGGAGATCCTTGAAGCTCACGTGGCCAAGGAGAAGGCTGCTCGCAAGAAGAGTCTCAAATTCTACACCTCCCAGATTGTGTCCAAATCCGCCAAGCGTGCGGATGCGGGTCGCAACGCCGGTGGTGATGACGATCTTCCCTATCGTGAGAGATTTGTAAGTCGGCCATTGCCCAAACATTCCATGTTGTTATATGCTGACTTTTGCGCAGAGAGACAGACAAGCACGGCTCAACGCCGAGGCCGAGAAGCGCGGCAAGAAGGACAGCAAGCACGGCGCCGTGCTGGGCGAGGGCGACAGCGACGACGAGGACAAGGCCGTTGCCAAGCAGGTGCGCGGCGAGGAGGACGAGTACTACGACATGGTGGCGCACAACGCGGCCAAGAAGAAGGAGGACAAGGCGGCCAAGTACGAGGCTTTGGCGGCGGCCAAGGGCGCCCGAGTCGTGGAGGAGACGACGATCGGCCCCGACGGCAAGCGCCAAATCAACTACCAGATCCAGAAGAACAAGGGCCTCACGCCGCATCGCAAGAAGGAAAACCGCAACCCGCGTGTCAAGAAGAGGATGAAGTACGCGGAGAAGCAGAAGAAGCTCAAGAGTGTCAAGGCCGTGTACAAGGGCGGCGAGGGCAAGGGCGGGTACCAGGGAGAACTGTCGGGTATCAAGACCGGCTTGGTCAAGAGTATCAAGCTTTCTTGATAGGGCTCTGGTTGTCGTGGTTGTTGGACTGGTTTGTAGTACTCTGGGTATATCATGCATGTATAGATTTTTGGGTTGTTGATAATCATGGCCTCAACGGAAATGGAAAAAAGGGGGCTTGCACACACAATGGCATTGCATTTCTTGAACACACTCGATACCTTTTCAAAATCAACAATATCCGTTATTCTCAAATAGGAGGTCGTCGGTACTGGCACCCTGTTCAATCGTGTTGTACAGGTCCATAGTAAAAACCCGCGTCTGAGAACAGGGTCCTACAAGAATCCCTCAAGGTTTTTTTCTTTTTTTTTTTTTCTTGTCACAGTTCATAATTCCTCTTCGTTTCTGTGCCCCTCCCTTGACATTTTTTTGCGTGTCAAGATTTGAAAGGGTGAAAGGCGACGTGGACTCGGAAAGGATACAAGGCCTGAGAGGGAGCCAGTAGGAGCTCTGGGACGAATCAATGCAAATGCCAAAATCTCAACTTTGGATCAAATGTAACACCACCACATGATGAATTATTAGATTGGGCAATTTTTGAACAAACACACCATCCTAAGCCGAACATTCTGGGTTTATTATCTTCAGTATCTTCAACACGGATAGTTCAAGAAGTAGAGGTAGTTTTTGGGATGAAACACTGGAATGTTAGAGCAATGATTATAGGACATGTCACATTATTTTTCCAGTCCATCATGACTTTTCAAACCCAACAAACAGGCAGAAGGAAGAGTTCTAAACCAACAGTCTGCTTTCGGTCTATCAGAAACCCGGGTTTCCCTCGATGGGTTCTCATGCTGTTGTTGGATGTTGTTGTACTAGGGTTTCATCTAGCGGTTGACGTACCCCACAAGATCCACAGCACGGGATGCTTGAGCCGCCTGAGACGTGCATGTTTTTAAGGGCTCTTTTGCCGCCGCCGAGGATGCATTACACGTATCTTGCAGGCGGGTCAACCTTGGGTCTTGGGGGAACCGGTTTGCGGATGAAGAGGCAAAGGATTTAAAACTAGTCATGCGACCATCAGACTTTTCACCATGTATGACTCGAATTGGATTGTAACCAGGTCGACTCTTTCCTTTGTCCAGCCCTTTTTGTTGACTTTGCATTTTGCATCGTTATCTTGAGCCTCACTTCAGTTTGTACTCTATAACTCTTTGACCGACCGCTCATGAATCCTCAGGGCGGCTCTCAATTGAAGTGACGTATCTCCTATCTACCAAACCCACAAAACAAGGACACAACAAAGAGCGAGGTGAACTGGGCTTCCAAGTTCCAACGAATCTTTGGGGCAAACAACTCAATCGATAAGGCGGGAGAGCAAAGCGCATCAACAAGCGTCTTCATTCATCAACCATCGCATCCTTCCTTACGCTTAAACCCACAAGATTCGTCAACCTGTACCTATCAAGAGACGGTTGCACAAAACAGTGAGACAGCATTACACGCGGTCCTACGGACAACAGCAGCCACCATGGCGCCCCCGACCGAACTCCTCAACCTCGACGTCGAGGCCATATCGGGGATCCTCGGGTAGGTCTCATTCCACTCCCAATTAACTTCACCTTCTCCATCTTACTAAACCCTCCCAACAGCTCCGTATCAATAGCATGCTGGGTCGTCGTCTTCTCCCCGCAAATCATCGAAAACTTCCGCCGCTCATCCGCCGACGGGCTCTCCATCCAATTCATCATCATCTGGTTAACGGGCGATGTCTTCAACATCTTGGGCGCCGTATTGCAAGGGGTCCTGCCGACCATGCTCATCTTGGCCATTTATTACACCATTGCCGACGTGGTGCTTTTGGCGCAATGTTTCTATTATCGGGGATTTACCTGGCGGGATGAAGTGGTTCCCACCATTGCCATTGACTCCGACGACAGTGAAGCTGCTTCAGAGCGTGATATGGGGAGCAGACGCGGAAAGAACAAGGGTAAGGGGAGGGCTGATGGTAGTCGGGGGACGTCGAGCGATGAAGGAAGAAGAAGGGTAGGAGAAGATTTGGAATCGGGACCGGATGAACGTACCGCTTTGCTGGGAGGAGCAAGAGAAAGAGGAAATGCAGGCGTGTCATCCTCATCCGCGAGCACTATCACCAGCACTACCTTAACTCCTCACCACCAACACAACGGACATACCGGTCACGGCCACCACCTTAGAGTCGGCGGCGGCGGCGGCGGCGGCGATCTCTACCCCTACGACGGTACCGGCGAAGGTCGCGGGTCCAGCTGGTCGCATCTCTCGCCCGCGGTCCCCCTCGTCGACGACGCCGACCTCGAAGCCGAAATCCTGCAGCAACCGCGCGGGCGCAACGGCAACAACCGTGCACGACCTGCTGCTGCCGGTCCCACGAAGCTGCAATCCTTCCTGTTCAACCTCATGGCCATCCTCATGGTTTGCGCAGCCGGCGTGATGGGCTGGTTTCTGTCTCGGGAGTATTACCCACAACAACCATCATATGAACCTCCTCCATCTTCCGATCCCCAAGACGGCGGCCTCCCCAAAACAGGAGTCGAGTTCTCCTTTTGGGGTCAAATCTACGGCTACCTCTCCGCCATCCTCTACCTCGGTTCTCGACTTCCCCAGCTACTTCTCAACTTCCGGCGCAAGTCCACCGAGGGTGTGTCGATGTTGTTCTTCCTGTTTGCCTGCCTGGGCAACTTGACCTATGTCTTATCCATCTTGGCCTACGACGGATCGTCGGAATGCGCTGCTGGCCCGGGCGATTGCGAGGATGGAGAGCCAGGCAAGATTTACTGGCACTATGTGCTGATCAACATGAGTTGGTTGGCGGGCAGCGCGGGGACATTGTTGTTGGATGCGGCGATTTTTATACAATTCTTTTTGTATAGTAACGAGGAGGTTTGGAGTGATGATGAGGATGATAGTGAGTGGGATAGTGAAAGTGGGAGTGGGAGTGATGGGTGTAGTGTGATTAGCGAGAGGAGTGGAACGGTTAGTGAGGATGGGCAGGCAGGGGTTGAGCAGGGCCAGGAAAGTGATGGGAGGGGGTGGGATAGTGATGATGAGAGAAGTAAATTGGATGAGGCTGAGATGAGAGGTAGGAGGAGGAGGGCGGAGAGGGATGCCGGGGTGAGGGGAGGTGCGTCTGTGGGTGCGGGTGGAAGTGAGAGTGGGAAGCTATGAGGGAGGTAAATGCTTCACATGTTTGGGTTTCAAAAAATGGTTGACGGACGTATGACGAAAGGCAAAACGGGAAATGGGCGGGCATATATGGGCGTTTAGGATGACGTTCTGGATCATACAACTTGGATCAAGGCTCTTACATCGTTGCAAAATGAGATATACAACCATTCCCTCATCATCCTCTTCTCCACTCACAAGCCTACACAATTCCCCCCTTTAAAGCTTATGCCTCTTCTTCCCGCTCGCAATTTTCTCAAACTCCCCCTGCGGCACTCCACTAACAAACCTGTCCAACCCTGCCATCACCTCCGCCACATTCTGCGCATCATACACATCCCTCTCAGGCCTTCTAATCAGGCTCTTGATCCCTAACAAACTATCTCCGACCAAATGATCTCCCAACCTTTCCTCAATTTCCTTTAACACCAACCCCTTAAACTTTTTCGTCTCTCCCCTTCCGACTTCCTCAAAGCACTTGGTCACAAACCCGGTCTGCACCAGCTCCTCCTTTGTAATTTTCTTACTCATAATCAACGCCTCGTTAGCCTTGGGTAGACCCAATCGCTGGACAAGACCGCGAGAGGCGCCTCCCTCGGCTACTAGACCGAGTGACGAGAAGGGGGTGAGCAGAAAAGTGGAGGGGACGCAGTAGATGAAGTCGGCGAAGGAAACCAAAGCGGCGGAGAGGCCGATGACGGGCCCATTGAGACCAACGATAAGAATCTTGGGGTGCGTATAGAAGGCCTGGGTGATGTTGAGGTTGTTGGCGACGAAGTTGCGGAGCCAGTGGTTGTGGATGGCGTCTTGAGAGGAGAGACCTTCGGAGGGGGCGACGTTGGATCTGGAGATGGAGACGTCGGCACCTCTATGTATGGGGACATGCATATTAGTTGATTGTTAATTTATGAAAAGTGACAAAATGGATTATACTTGGGGGCTTGATGCGGTGTTACATAGTGCCGGTTGTGGCGGTCAGGGGAAGAGGTAATGGGAAGTAAAGGCTTACGCAGAAAAGTAACGGCCGGTGCCAATGATCAGGGTAATGTAGACCTCATCGTGGGTCGCAACCTCGCGTAGCCGTTGAGCCAGATCGTAGTATTGCATCTGGGTGAGGGCGTTGAGTTTCTTTTCATTGTTGATGGTGATGATGGCCAGTCGGCCCTTGTACTCGACATTGATGACTGACGGTTCCGCCATGGCTCCGTATTGGTGGGACTACCTATTTTGAATTTTCTGGACTGAAGCTGTGTTGAAAGCAAAAGAGAGGAAGAAGTGAGAGAGATCTTGATATGCAAGACTCCAAAAGATGGAATTCCTTCCCCGGATGCCGAGAATGAGACGAACCCCTGTTTACGCGGGGCCAGCGGGCATGGAACTGTGAAGATGTTCCCCACAATGCGGGGGTGGAGACGGTCATGCCTCGGCTATCCACTTTGGCCCTATGAAGACGGGAGTTAGTCATTATGATATTAACATGGTCTTTCTCCTTTGGCAAGTCAATGGATGATGGGGAGTTGAGGATGTGTTTGGAAAGGTGGTCAGAACGAGGTTACCTAGGTAGGTTTTGAAGTTGAAGGATTGCACTATCCAGTCTAGAATAAATCATCCACCACTCCGGGATATTTACCTAGCGGAAGACTGTCTTCTCAGACCAATCAATCCATTAGAATCACCACATTGATTTACATTCCTCGCAGTATTCAAAGTGATTGCAAAGCCCAACTTTCATACCTCGGATTACGCTTTTATACGATTAGTGATCAGGCGGGTCAACCTATGCGCACTACAGCAGTCCTTATCTTGACCTACCTGGTCATCCATCTATCAGAACCGTCAGGGATCAGGGACGGTAATAACCGTCAGAGTACTGAAATAATGCTGAACCTGATGGTATGGCGGCTTGGACTGCTGACCGTTTGTAACATATGAAATTGACGGCGTAATGAAAAGAAATAATCGGGTAGTTGCTGAAAACAATGGATCTTTATCACGCAATGGACGAAGCTCCAACTCGATGTACACCTATGTACGGTCCTCTTCCGCGACCTGTAGGAGCGCCTCCACGGCTGTCTTTTTCTCCTCGTATCCTCCTTATCCTCACCAAGGGCGAGCAGCCATCAGGGGCTTGATCGTTCCCTTTTCGAAACAAAGAAAATAGCCCTTAGCAACCTGTTCCCTGTCATCCAAGGCGACGGGAATCCTTCCCTCAAAAGAAATAGCTTCCAAGTTGACCGCAGTGCAGAGTAGCACTGAACTGTCAACGAAGGGCGCACGCTTGTCATTCTGCTGTGGGCCTGTGGGGCCTATGGAGAACAGCAAGTGTTAGTATCTCGTCATGAAACTTGGGTCCTTGAAGGCACAGATATAAAAGATGGAAGTGTCCCTTTCGATGTTGGCACTTCCATCAATCTTTATTACTTCAGATTGAGTGCCTCAAAGAGGAAAAGAAATAGGTTCGGGTCTACCAGAAAGTGGAAGACAAACACGTTCAACCAAAGCTCGGCAGGTAACCAGAAACCTCAAGATGGCTTCCCAATCAACCTTTGATATACCATTGGACTCACTGCCTCCATCCTATCGAACCACCGAACGCAATACGGACTTCGACCCAATCCGTCGAGCTGAGACCGGCACTCCTGAGCCCCAAGATACCTCTGTTCAAGAGCCTGCAAGACATGAGTTCTCCCAGCTACCGCCAGTCGACGGCGGCAAGGACGCCTGGCTCTTTTTAGCCGCTTGTTTCGTTGTCGAAGCATTAGTCTGGGGTACGTTCAGCATCATTTATCATGCACCTCTACTCAGGTAACATCAGCCAAAAAGGCCAAATGCTCACCGTGACCCTCTACACCAGGCTTCCCCTACTCTTTCGGCGTCTTCCAAGACTACTACAGCACCCATCCGCCCTTTTCTTCCTCCAGCAACCTCGCCGTTATCGGCACCTGCGCCATGGGCATCATGTACATCGACACTCCCTTAATCATGTCCTTCTTCCGGCGTTTTCCGCGGTTCGCGCGATGGGCTCCCATTGTTGGGTTGCTCGTCATGTGTTTCGCCCTCGCCATGTCGTCCTTTTCCACAACCGTCACGCACTTGATCGTCACCCAGGGAATTCTTTACGGCATCGGGGGTTCGATCGCTTACTCTCCTTGCATTCTCTACCTGGATGAGTGGTTTGTCAAGAAGAAGGGATTGGCTTACGGGATTATGTGGTCCGGCACTGGTTTGGCGGGCGTGGTTCTGCCGCCGTTGCTGGAGCATCTTTTGTCCAAGTACGGGTATCAGACGACACTACGCATCTGGGCAGTGGCGGTATTCGTCTTGACGGCGCCGTTGGCGTGGTTTTTGAAGCCTAGGGTTTCTGTTGGGGGCAAATTTGCGGCAAGTGAAGCAGTTTCAAACTCTTCTACGTCTGGGACAACAACCCCGACCAGCAACGACAACAACAACAACAACAATACTGACGTCCACGCTGCACCCCCAACCCCCTACACCCCCTCTTTCTCCTTCGTCCTCACCCGGCCCTTCCTCTTCTACCAACTCTTCAACATAATCGAAGCCCTCGGCTTCTTCCTCCCGGGTATCTACCTCCCCTCCTACGCGCGCTCCGTCCTGCAAGCCCAAGGGTTTCTCACGTCTCTAACTCTTTTGTTGCTCAATGTTGCCTCCGTCTTCGGCTGCGTCGCCATGGGCTGGTTCATCGACCGGCTAGACGTCACTACCTGCATCATGCTGTCGACAGCCGGCACCGTGCTGGGGACTTTCTTCCTCTGGGGGTTCGGCACCAACCTGGCGGTTTTGTATGTGTTTTGTGTGGTGTATGGGTTCTTTGCGGGCAGCTTCACGAGTGCGTGGCCGGGAATTATGAAGGAGGTTGCCAAGTTGGGTCATGGCGGCTCTGCTGAGACTGGAAGTGAACACGGGAGTAAGCCGGTTGATCCGACTATGGTGTTTGCCTTTTTGGCGCTGGGGAGGGGAGTGGGAAATGTGGTCAGTGGGCCGTTGAGTGAGACGCTGGTTAAGGAGCTGCCGTGGCAGGGTAGGGCGTTGGCTGGGTATGGAAGCGGGTATGGAGGGCTGATTGCGTTTACGGGGGTGACGGCGTTGGTGGGAGGGGGAAGCTTTTTGTGGAAGAGGTTGGGGTGGTTGTGAACTCATGGCTTGAGTATTCTGGTAGGGGGATGGGTTCCGATGCGAATGTGTGCAAGTTAAGGTTTGTTTGGAGAGACTGCAGTCTCCTTAGACCTGTGTTTTGGCGTTGCAGGTAGACAGGAAACTAAGGCCATCATGTTCAGCTACAGCATAAATATGGAAGTGTAGACAAAGAGGCAACCAAAACGAACGAAACGAGTCTGTGTGAAAACACTCGTCTTTCAGTTATGATCCCTCATCGCTTGATAATATTGATGGGAGAGGTAAATAGCTAACCTTACCCTCTGATATTCCTTGATTCGTGCTAATATGGATCAAAGTGGCTGGGCATGACGCAAAGCAGTCGCCATCTCATACCGATCAGTCGATGAAGGTATCACCAGACCTCGGCGCGTCGGCGGCATCAAGACCGACTGGCTGGTACCAAAACCCTGCAGAGGTCCTCAAAGTAGGACAAAACTTGAGGCTGAGTCTCTTGAGCTGACAGTGTGAGGGATGGTGAGCACATCGTATTTCTTCCCATTTGAGCCATGGCGAGCACGGACGAGATGTGATGCTGCTTAGATGTTGAGCTCACTGCAGGATTGTGTTCTGTGACTCCCCCGTCTCTCATCAGATGGCAGGATACGTTGCGCATACCTCGTTCCTCGGTCTCTGCTCGTAGCACCAAACAGCAACATCCGAGGAGAGTTTTGTCTGTGCTATGTCAAGGAACATGGTGCGGGATGGTACTATGCTGCTCGCTTTATTCCTTCAAAGTTGACGGAACACCGTGCGTGAAGTCCGAGAAAGTCAGCCCCAAGGACTACGCACGCATGGTTTTCATTGAATGAAACGCATGGAGAGTTACAAAGAACCGAAAGCATGGATCTTGATACTAGACACTCTGCCTCAGCTCAATCGCTTCTACTGCGGCGAGTTCACTCAGCGATCAGCATGGATATGGGTGTAGATGTGTTACACAGAGAAATCATGCAAAAACAAACTATGCTAAGGGGGGTTTGAGATGTTTGTCCTTTTTAGTCCCGCTACAGCACGCGAGTGATCATAGGACAGAACACTCAGCTGCAGCGGGGTGGATTAGACCGGCTGTCTAGGCCTTGGGATTTTTCTTCCACGCGAACGATAAAATTAAGTTAACCTAGAGCGCAAGGAGAGATAGCGCAGAGGCAGGCAAGTTGTGGATTTTGTGTGTGATTGTGTTTGTAATCTTGTGACGCGATGCTGCCAAAGGGGATTGAATTAGGTCAGTCAAAGGAGGAGATAGTGTCGCCGCCGTCGAACCGTTGTATGGCTGCCGGAGCAACTGCATCGGGGAGCAGGAGAACACGAATAACAGCTCTGGCGTGACACCCGGGGCATGTTGAACATGACAGCCAAACATAGTTGAGGTCGGTCGACGGGGATCTTTTACGACGTTGCGCAGGGTTTGGATGAGTTGAGAAAGAAGTCGTCGTTGTTGGTTGTCAGCTTGTTGCGATTGTGCTGTGAAAAGGAGGAAAGGGATCAGAAATTTCAGATTCTCGGCGCAGTTTTGTCTTCGCATTTGCATATGGCCCGTGCGCCACTCACCCCACCATGAATTGCGCCCGCTCCTGTTTGGGCGGAGGGGCGGCAGTTGTCGGTCCGAGACTGACGGCAGATGGCCTGTGCGCTGCCTGCCTGCAATCGCAATGCAAGGTACAAAACCAAATCGTCGCAACCGCCAGTTTTCCACTTTTTCTTCTTTTCTTCATTAAACACTTATAAACGCACCTTAAATCAACCGAGACTGACTGACTCCTCCACTCGCTGTCGGTCAATAAGAGTGCAAGAGCAACTTGAGTCTCCTTCCCGCTATCAACACGGCATCAGCGCGTTCATTTCTCAATGGCTCTGAGACCGGTCGGCGGGGGGTTCTCTACATCTTCATTCCCATCAACATACAGCATGTGAACGGCAATGAACTACTTGTCCACAATATGATGACAGCCGCCGTGCCAGGGTGACCCGGGTGACCTAGGTGACATGGAACGAAGCGTTCTCTATCAAATCGAAAGAGCCACTCCCTTCAGTGTCGTTGAACCAACATGTCAAATACGGATGGCCACAGAGGCGCAATAACTGTAAGGCATCTCACCCTAGAACCTCACTGTGTGCTTCCCCGTGTGTAGGTGATAGATTCCGTACCACGTAACAGAGCAAGACGGGTCTAGGATGCCTCGTGGATCAGTACCGTGCTCGTATTTGGCTACAGCTTGACGAACCGCTGCCGTACACCATCGTCTGCCGTCCCCGCTGTCCGTCCGAGCTTCCAAGCTGCTGCACGCCTAAATCGAGATACTCCCCGTGGAAGGAGTTGCCGGCATCGTCCTACCTGAGAAGCTCCTCTGTGTATCTGGGAAGTGCCTCTCTGGGTCTTGTCTTCCTAACTTGACGGACAGCTACAGCCAGCCGATGGGGGTCAACTGGACACGCTGGTCGGCTGCGGAGGGGCGAGGGGTTCCACGCCACTATCGGAATCAATGACCAAATGGGTCATTCGTGGGTATGGGTAAACGGGGGGTATGCAAGTTTGTGTCGACCGTGGTTGGCGATAGCCTCACCTCCCTGCTCTGGACCCCTCTCGCAACTGAAACATCCAGCAACCAAAGTCGCAAATCTCGAGTTACAGATATGCAAAGGGTCGAATCTGGTGGTCTTGGGTACCTGGAATCACATCTTCAGAAGCCGAGAAACAGGACCACGGTGCGTTTATCCGTCAATCAACCCTTGCTTCGTTATGCCATGTCAGGCATAAGAACACTACAGCATCCTAGGCTGACGCACAAGTCGTGCCTACATCCGTGGTCCGACTCGACAACCGCCAGACTCAGCAATCATGTTGGGTTGCTCTGTGGCCTGTACCATGGTCAAGTATAGACTTCAAGCCCCTGGACTCGCTGAACACGGGAGTGATTACCAGCTCAGGCGTCTCCCACCGGGGATCAAGGAAGTTTCACCCGACTGTCGAGATATTTCCTTCTCTTTTCAATTACTTAGTCCGAGGCTGGCCGGTCTGGGCTCGGTTCCAGCAGCCACTTCCCGAGACCAGATATGGCCGTTGCTCCGTTGAATGCGGCTCTGCCCGCTTCATACCTCCCTTTCACTGCGAGTTGTGAACCACTTTCGGAACTGGCGGTCAGACATCATCCTGCCCAAGAAGCAGTGTACCGTATCCTCTTGCCTTCACGGCATCACGAAACACCGGCAGTTTCCCCTTCTTGGCCTCCATGGTGGCTATCACCAAAACAGCCTGCCATATGCCGCCGGGATGGATGATGTACCAGTGTCGATCTACCGAGGAATAGGAAGACTTCCCCGGTCTGAATCCGTCCTTCTCAGCTTACCCCCTTACTCTGAGAATTAACGTACGGAAGGCCGCAGCAAACTATCAACTTGTGACGCAGGAGGGCAAAGTCGTACGGCTCGTCGTCCTCAACCGTGTATTGTAAGTCTGTATCGCCTTTGGGCTGATTGAAGCCTGCGGAGGTGGAAGTGCGATCTTGACTTAAGCTGTGAGCCTTGGCATTAGTGTTGACAACCAAGGTCATGGTGGCTTTGATGCTGAGAGAGCTTGATGTGATCAGGACTGTGAGCTCAGCCCAAGAGAATAGCCCCCGATAAACGCTGTGTGTATCATGAGATGATGTCCTGACATGGCAGTCACGATGTTGGCTCAAAGCGTTGTCCGTTCGGACGGCTGAAGTATATAAGCCTCCTTGGTCAGCAGAGACGGTGAGATATATCGGACACTCGACAATGAGAATTCAACAGAAGCCTCATCTCTTCTCTTCATTTACTGGACAATACTTACATATCCATTCAAGATACATATTATTTTCCGCCTCGACCGACTATCGATACGTCAACATGATCAGATCCACCAGTAACTGTGGCTCAAGCCTCTTTTTCACCGAAAATGTGGTCAGCAATTACATGTCATTCATTGGGTTAACCCAATATGATTGGGAAAATCCGACCATGATGGACGGCCCAGATGATCCAGACCCCAAAACTGCCAAGCAGGCCAGAGGCACCATTCAGTATGGGCCAGATGAGGAGGACCCTCGCCAAGCCGAAGAGCCCTACAGACGCTTCATAGGCATCGTTCTTTACGGCGATAGTGAAAATGGAGATTCGAGAAAGCCTTCTTCCAAGAAATAATCCAGTGAGTTTGCACTATTCTTTCCCATCTAGCCACTCATTGTGATGACAGGATGATTCCTGACATCTTACACCAACAAGATACGTTTGGCTACAAGATACATGTCAACATGCTTTTGACAAGCCACGGAAACCCTGTCCCAAAGTCCCGATCAAAGTCATATTGAGACATTTACGTCTCAGTGACACCAGGCTGCTGCTTCAATTATATAACTGATCACGATTGGATGACGGAACTGCACCTGCTTCTCCCTGTGTCTCTGTTTGCTGCACCTATTGTCTCTTTTTTCGCATGGCTTTTTTTTTTTTTTTTTTTCCTCGGCTTACATACTATACCACTACACCACCCAAAGAATTCCCATCTTGTTAACCTTGTTGCCCTGTTGGGGCTTCATCTAATATTGATGTTTGTTCAAACTTGGAAGAAGGCAATTATCACGGGAAACGATCATGGCGTGATGCACGGTACCTTCTAGATGAGGATGGAAGTGACGGAAGATAAAATCGGGCGGCTCTTGTAATTTCCAACCAGTTTCTCTTTTTTTCTGGCTCAGTTTCCCTTATCTTGCTTCTAGAATTCTTCCCTAATACAGTAACTGGACCTTCATTCACCCATCGATGCGTGTCCAAAGTTCCTTTTGTACCGTACATGTCCATGTCCATGCATATATGTCTTAAATTCACCCGCCTCATCACGTTTTTTCGCTTCCTCGCATACGCGCGCCAGATATCACGGCTCTCGTGTGTCTCAGCTTGCGACATACTTCATGCCGCCACCAGGCTACCAAAGGCAGCCCGTATGCAGACCCGACTGAATGTTCCTGTCTCGGACTTTTCCCAAAGGACTGAACTGGACGCGGTGAGGGTGACTAACACACTCCAATTTGTCTGTGCTTTAGACTGACATTCTAGCCCACGCATTTGACACATAGTTGTCAGCTGCAGTACAGCGTTGACTGATTGACTGACTGACAGGCTGTCAGTGAGACTTTTAGGCGGTCTACCGACAATGGACATGCAAGTTCAGGTTCAACCAGACCACTATATACAAGACAAACATCCCGAGGTCTATTTTTGACTGGATATGGGGATCATTGCTTGCTACGTTATCACCATTTATCCATGAGCAACAGAAGGGGCAATTAAAACTGTTGGAAAGCTCGGTAACAAGGAAAAGAACATCTTCCTTTCCTAACAGTACAATCCAGAAGCATCACCCTAGATACGTCCGGCTTCGTAGTTAGCCCTATGAAAATCCCACCCTTGGGTTGAGACAACATGTTTCAAATATCCTTGGCTGCAAGGTATAAGTACTGAAAAGCCTCATGACAAGGAAGCGTGCCACGAGCCAAGCAAACAGAAAACGAAACAAGAAGTCGAAAGTACACCGCACATTACGCTAGAGGTAGGTAGCTTTAAGGCAGGTGAGACATATACATAACGCGAGGATTATTTCCGTCGTCGCTTTGAAGCGGGAGGTAGAAAGAATAGATTAGAGGAAAGTACTGAGCCTTACCTAGTGAGCTTCGGGGCGGCCAGATAAGAAGGTAATGAGGTTTGGAGGCAGGGAGGCAGGGTACTTCTGTTTCAGTACTTCCATGGAAGTTATTCTTGAGGATCTTTCAAGTCGAAAAAAGTTTGAGTCTGGAGAGAGTACCAATCTCGACAAAAACAAGGGTTGAGGAAAGGGGTGCAAACAAACTGCCCCAAACACAATGAAGAATTCAATAAATAACTCAACGTCAATGCGACTCGCAATCTCTGCTACTGCTGGGGCCGCTTGGAGTTTTATTTTATCCGTACCAAAATGTGAAAGACTTTGGTTGATATCCCGGGGAAAAGTCGGGAAAAGAAATGGAATACAACACTGGCTAGAGTTGCCCTTACGACCTAAAATTCTATGTCTACCTAGAGATCTGCCTTGGACAAGAGCATTCGACTTTGCTTCTACTGACATAGCGTTGGTGAATGGATCCTCGAAAGTGGGAGTGTGGCGTTAATTCGAGCCGCCTTTGTAAGAACATCGTGTGTTGGCTTATTAACTTGACTATGCTCCCGTCGTTGTGCGATGGAAGTTCATCTTTGGCCTTGCACAACCAAATGCTTCACTCTATCAAGAAACTATGTGGTGTTGATAGTTCCGTAGGTGAATGATATTTGCCAATTTGGGAAACTCGGCACCTTTCAAGCCGCCCTACCCAGATGATTCTTCTTTGTCGTCCGGGCCGACCTGATTGACGGGTTGGGACAAGGCTCCAGATTGTTGAGTTGACATTGAATGGAAGGCAAGCTGTTCAAACCCCTTTTGGGCAATATTGATGGCAAACACGAGTAATGGCCTACTTTTTGATAGCTAGAAGGGGGAGTTTCGTTCCTACTATGCTTTGTTTGCCTTTACGACTTACCATGAAAGCATGAAGTTCTCCGGGCTGCTGCTGGTCGAAGCTGCACTGATTGTGTTGGCGCACGAGAAAGAACACAGCATTGTCGACGAAGCTAATAACCATGCCTATGATGACCGGTGCGTTGACTTACCACGCCGGGAACAGTGCCAACTCGCATCCCCAAGAAGATCTCAACACTTCCCCAGGGCACAACTGGAGCAGTACCACTCCCTGCTTCAACAGCATCGTTTCCAACGATGCGTTCTGTGTCTTCACAAACACTTCCTACGCCAATGACGAAGGAATCACTTTCATCACCACCGCTCAACGAGCCGCTTACCTTACTTCCCTTTTATCCTTCACTCCGCGTTCGAATATTACATCCAGCCCTGCAAAATACACCATCAGCTCCATTCCCGGTAAAGGCCTGGGTCTCATAGCCAGCACCCGCATCCCTCGCGGTTCTGTGATACTCTCCTCACACCCGACTCTCATGATCGACTACCGCGTCTTCGACGAACTGCTGCGCACCGATTACATCTCACTCCAAGCGGCCGCCATCTCCTCTCTCCCACCGGCCCACCGCTCGGCCTTTTTCGACCTCTCGACGCAATCGAAGAATGCCAGCGTCACCGGTGGTCTTTCGCGCATAGCCCTGACGGATACCATTATAACCACTAACGCTTTTGACATCCCCGCACCTCCACTTCGGCCTCCTTCTCCTCACTCCTCTCCTCCTCACGACCAAATCGACCCTACCGATACCCTCTGGTACACAGTCTTCGCCTCCTCCATCTCCCGCCTCAACCACGACTGCCGCCCCAATGCCGATTACCGATTTGACTGGAACAGCAGCAAAGGAGGGCCAGGCCTGGTTCAAGTGATAACTGCCGTGAAAGACATCCTCCCCGGGGAGGAAATCACCATCTCTTACATCAACCCACTTAGATCCCGTAAGGCGCGGCAGAAACTCCTGAGTACGGCGTGGGGGTTTGAGTGCTCTTGTGAGCTTTGCTCACGGTCGGGGGGAAGGGTGGAGGAGGCGGATCAGAGGGTGAGATTGATCAGGAAAGTTCGGAGACTGTTGAAGGAAGAACAAGATGGGGGAAGTAAAGCAGGAAGGGGAGAGGAGGGGGAAGGGTGGAAGATGGGGAGTAGAGGGCAAGGGGAAGGGGATGATAGAACAAAAGCGGCAGAGTTGTTAGTGAGTTTGTATGAAATGGAAGGGTTATGGGGGACGGTTCATGAGGCGTATGCATTGGCGGCGAGGGAGTATAGTAACGCGGGAGAGACGTGGATGGTGATGAAGTGGGCGGCATTGGCGGTAGAGTTTGGGATGATGGTGTTGGGAGAAGGGGATGAGGCGCTTAGGGAGATGAAAGGGTTGGCAAGGAATCCCTGGGGCCATGGGGCTTGGAGTAGTCGAAACAAGAGCGAAGGTTATGGGGAGGGAGATGAGAAAGGTTGGTGAACCTTTCATTTTCACATGTTTCAAGATTTGTTGATATATGAAACCAAAGTCGTTGGAAAGGCTCTAGAATATTTGTCTGATGATGGTTGGTTGGCTTTTCTGTTGAATGGTGCCTCTGATGGTTCAGTTGTCTTCGGCACTCAAGGTTCTGGGCCCCAATTCTCAGGTACCTGAACACAGCAGGGAAGGCGGTACTAACAGGACGTCACCAGTGGATCGTTTCAGGCCATACGCGAGGTATCCATAACCACCCCGGTCATCCGGCTCTTGACGGAAGGAAAAATATGTCAAATAAAATCTGCCTCGAATGCCATCGAGTTGCTGATCATGAACACCATCTCAAAGTCTTCTCAGAGTGCTCCAGACCGTTGAGAAAAAGCAACAGCTTCCACTTCCATCAACCTCAGGTTCCAGACCCACCCATCCCCGGTGTAGGGCAGCTAGCGACATAGTCTGCATAGCAAAAACAGGCGCCCAGAGCTACTAGTCGCCGTCCCCAGCTTGGCGACAGGGTGGAGTGCGGGGTAATATCGAGCTTGTTCTCTTGTGGTGCTGCACCTTGATGTCAATCCTCCTTTCCTCCATTCTGCCAAACAAGGAACCGCTAGAGGTAGAACTAGACTTTCAGCACAGCCTCACAAGAACCACCATCGACGATTGAAACACAACAATTTGGATTACGCAAGACCTCCCACCCGTCATTGCCCAACAACGAAATCTCTACATTCTTTCGCGCGCCCTGCCCACCACTCGTTTGCGACACGACATCACTGACTGGTACCAACACCGATTCCATACCATTACCACAACAACAAACATCCCACAACTACGACAATACCCCCCCTTAGGCAGCAACAATGGATTCCGAAAAGGCCATCGCGGCCATCAAAGAGGCCAGACCCCCTGCCACTGACCGCTTCACATATCTTACCATTGTCGAGACGAACCTCTCCCCGGCCGTCCTGCCAACCCTCAATGAAGTCCTCCAAGATGCAGAGCTCACTCAGGAAATCGGTTGGGATCTGGTTTATAACCTAGTCAACCTTCCCGGCTCCGACGAGTGCTTGGAGACGATTGCGCGACTGGGCAACCCCCGTGAAGTTATTCTCAAGGTCCTCGAAACCCTCGAACTCCTCAGCCAGGATGACGGCTATCAGAGCGACGACGAAAGTGAGGCAGGGGAGACCAACGGCGAGAAGTCGGTGCCGTTTAAGCAAAAGTTCATCACCCTGGTCAACATGCTGTCCATCCTACATAAGCGCATCAAGACGAAATATCCGAGCCGATTCCTCGCAACATCCCTACAGACCATCTACAACACCTACCGGCCCAACCATGAGATGACTGCGGCCGTCATCAACCTCGTTCGTAGCTTAGCCGGTAACAAGAGGCCACCTCTCCCCACCCGCAAGTCGAGCGTCAACGTCGCAAATCCAGATCAGCATGGGGATGCCACTAAGAATGCCCCCGATCCCGAGGCAGACAGGGAAACTGAGCATCCCACAGAGACTGCGATACAGGAAAGGTTGCTCTTGAGCTTCGCGACATGCATTCTTGAGTCCTTTGTCAACAAGAACGATGTGGCGTGGGCACCAAGGCTGTTGGAGTTCCACAACCCGGAGAAGATCGTCCCTGGGCGCAAGACCCTCATGGCGAGATTCCGTGAAGAGAAGGAGCTGTCGGAGAAGGATGGCGCTGTTGGACAGTTGGTGGTATGTTGACTTTGTGTCCCTGTGAATGAAATGTCGCCGAGTGCGCTGACCCAAGAACACCACAGGCATTGATCGCCGATCTCGGTCTGTCGTCTTGCGACAAAACCTTCCTTAGCCAAGTCACCGAGGGCCCTCTCCAAACCGATCCCCTATCCAAAACAGAAGACATAGCCAAGCCGGAAGACATTGGCTTGTCGACGGGTGGATGCGTCATTCTTTTGGCATACTGGGTGTTCTCGACAACCGTGTTCGACTCCGACCACCCGGTACCCGATATGCACATCTTCCCCGACCACTTGGCCATGCTCGAGAAGTTCCTTCAAGATGACGCTGAGGATCAGATTCGAAAAGCGCCGGGAACGATGCAAGCCCTGGTCACCATCGGCCTTTGGCTTCACGACAAGGGTCTTATTTCAGCGATTCCCAAGGCGCCGCTCGCCAACCAAACGACGAACCCTGACGAAGCAACCTCGGACTACATGCGCTACATCCTTTTTGTAACACTCATTGCTGTCTTCCACCCGCAACTACACGTGCGCAATGCCGCGAGCTGTCTTGCCGGGCTGGTTCTCCACGCCGACCCAGCCGACGACGACCGTCTGAAGATTCTGTACGATCTTCTCGAAAACTGCGACTACGCATCGCTCAAGGCGTGCGCAGTCACATGGCTCCGCGAGGAACTTATCGCTGCCGCTCCCAATGCGCAAGCAGCTCCTCAAAATCTTGCGGCTCCAAACAATCAGGCTCCCCTCCCATCACCAACCCTGCAGCCGGGCACCGCGACACCTGGCACGAGATCGAGGGCTGGAACAAACATGAACGTCTTCGCTGGTCCTCAGGCGCTCGAGACGGTCCAGTATGTAGTATTTCCCAACATGGGCTTCCTCAAAGAACTGGATCTCCAGAAGCTGGTGAATGAGTTGGGCACCAATGCCCCCTTTTTCCTCCAGGCTGTGAACTTTGGTTTGTTCTTGTGGAGTTCGGCAGACAAGTGGAGGAGGGTACTGCCTCCGAACTTGGATGCGACGGTCAAGGAGCGCTGGTTCGCGCCGCTTCATGATGCGGTAGCGAAGGTGAAGAAGGCCGTGGACAGCGGCGAGATTGAGGGCCAAGGGTTGGGGTCATTGCAGTTCGATTTGGATGTGTTGAGCGAGCGTCTGAGTCGGTTGGAGGCGGCCGAGGGCTTTGCTGTTGAGAAGTAGATGGTGTATAGGGATAAATCTAATGCAATATGCCCGACCGGAAAAGCATGGCTTGAGCAAGAGAAGGGACGGATTTATATGGACGCTTTCAATGGCTATGGATGGGAGGACACGAAGTATCAAGGGTGGAGTTTGTCGGTTCTACGAAAGTCAAGCGAAGTAAATGTCTACTTGTACTGTTAATGAGTATGTGCTCGTGTAGCTGGCTGTTACGCGCCGAATGGTCGCAAGTGACCAAGCAAGGGAGTTATCGTATAACCTGCTACCCATCTATGCTTTCGTGAACCCGTTCCGCTGTGCAACTTGGTGATGATATGACGGTGAATTCAGGGGCCACTGATGGGGTGACGGCATTGACGATGGCAAAGTGCACAGACCACCTATTCTGCCGGCCAGCCAGGGGGACAAATTAGGCTTAGCGCAGATTACTGGCAGCTGACTCCGCACAAGACACAAAAATCCACCATCCACTGGCAACAAAATCCTTTCCTGATTCCTTCGCTCAAGTCGACAGACGCAACATAGCATACCTATAGAAGAAATTCTACAGGAAGACGGCCAAGATGTCCAAGATTTCCGTCGGTACGTTTGCGCAATCGCCGGGAATCGTCTTTTCTCAAGATGACGACACCAAAATGACAAAATCGCTGATTATTTTGACTCTTGACAGCCGCTGTGCGTCAGCACGTTACTGACCTTCTTGAGTACTCTAACGAGACCAAGAAGCGCAACTTCCTCGAGACCGTCGAGCTCCAGATCGGCCTCAAGAACTATGACCCCCAGCGTGACAAGCGTTTCTCTGGCACCATCCGCCTGCCCAGCATTCCCCGCCCCAACATGAGCATCTGCATTCTCGGTGACCAGCACGATATCGACCGTGCCAAGCACGGCGGTGTTGACGCCATGTCCGTCGACGATCTCAAGAAGCTCAACAAGAACAAGAAGCTCATCAAGAAGCTTGCTCGCAAGTACGATGCCTTCGTCGCCTCCGAGGCCCTTATCAAGCAGATCCCCCGTCTGCTCGGTCCCGGTCTTTCCAAGGGTATGTTTTTGTCGGCTCCTCCTTTCAACCATATCAGAAACGCAGAATGCTAACGAAATGACCCCTACTACAGCTGGCAAGTTCCCCACCCCCGTCTCCCACTCCGACGACCTTACCGGCAAGCTCAACGAGGTCAAGTCCACCATCAAGTTCCAGCTCAAGAAGGTTCTCTGCATGGGTGTCGCCGTCGGCAACGTTGGCATGACCCAGGAGCAGCTTGTTGGTAACATCATGTTGGCCATCAACTACCTCGTCTCCCTCCTCAAGAAGGGCTGGCAGAACGTTGGTAGCCTTACCATCAAGGCTACCATGTCTCCCCCCAAGCGCCTCTACTAAATGTAGTCATGGTCTGCTGAGGCAGCGATTACTTCCTTACTCTCGTTTGTTGGGGTACAGTCACTAGTCAGCCTTTGATTAGGTCATACCGGTTTCTGTTATTGGGCAGCCGCGAGGGATGATGGGTGTCGCTGTTGGACGGTCTACATGAGGAGCTCCGTAGTTCTGAAGGGTTCAAATCTAAAGGAATTGCGGTCCATATCTGTTTCGCCTTCTTGCTCATGCCATGTGAATTTCTAATGACTTGTATGACTGCGTTGGACGGAAATGTCAGCCGCGCATTTGTGGCAGCGTTCCGAGTCAAGAGACAGCAAGTTCCACGATATCCCGGGAACTGATTCGGAGCCATTCATGCTGGAGGAAATGATGTTGTCAAGGATCGCATGTTGTTACATAGCGGTGACAAAGGATGAATTACTCATCAACAGGACCACGTCCACAACACCAGCTCCTAATCGCTGTTTCGGCTGGCGCGAGTTTTGAAGTTTTGCCCCGCTGTACCCCCGCCCCGCCCGAGGGACTGGAAATCCGGCATTGCATTAGGTTATGGACCGTCAATCGCGACTCGGTCGTTGTTGATGACGAATCAATCGTCTTTTGCCTCTTATGCCGTAGGCTATTTCTTCCGCTAGAACGAGGAAAAAAAAAAAGAAAAAAAAAAAGAACATAAAAACAACTGCTCAAACCTCTCCGTTGTAAAATCACCGCCTGTTCATGTTCATCTCATCTTGCTTCTGCAGGGTCGGAAACTTGCCTAACCACCTGCACCGCTTACCTCGGTATACCTCCATTCTGTCAAATCATCGGGCATTACACTCCCAACCTCATCCCCAACCCAACGCAACCATCACCACCACAACAACAACAAAAACAATCTCAAACACCAATCCCCCTTCTACTAAACCACCACTACACACTCACCAACTACAACAACAACAACAACAACAACAACAACAACAACAACAACAAGAACTACCCAATATGCCCCCACCAGCCCTCCCCACGCTCTCCTACCTCTCCCAGGAGTCCAACTCGGCCCTCACGCGCAAATTCGGTCCCGAAACCGCCAACTACTTCTCGGGCTCCCCCTTGAACCGACTCTCGTGGTTGCGCTCCGACCACCTCTTTTTGAGGGCCGCGTTTTCTCATGCCTCGGCCCGGTTCTTGTTGATGAACAACTTGGGGCCGATGGTGGAGAGCAAGCAGAATGACGCGAGGTTGGCGTTCGCGGGACCGGAAGATGTGAAGGGGTTGTTGGGTAGCGGGGAGGAAGTGTTTAGGAGTGAGGAGGAAGTTGTGGGTGGGTATGATAGTGAGGCGGCAGGGAAAGGTGAGAGGATGGTGGTGTTTTTGGGCGTGGATCTTGTGGATGAGAAGAAGAAGCAGCAGCCGCAGGAGGGGGAGGATGTGTTTGTGTGGAAGGAGTTCAGGGGGGCGCCGTATTTTGCTGTTGACGTTACGCCGCGTGAAGGCGATGGCGATGAGGGAAAGGCAAAGGCGGAGGAGTTGATCAAGAAGATGGAGGAGGAGAAGGGACATGCGTTTTTGAGCGCTAGTCCTAGGGGGATGGCGTTGGAGGCTGGACATGGTGAGTTTGATCCTACGGTCCTGTTTTAACAGGACTTCTTTTTGAAAGGGGGCGTGAATACTGATGGGAGGGACAGCTGCCATGTACGGCCAAGCTCGCGCCGTGGTTGACTGGAACGCCCGCAACCCTTTCTGCGCCCAATGCGGCCAGCGCACCATCTCCGTCCACGCCGGCACCAAGCGCGTGTGTCCCCCGACGGACAAGGGCAAGGACCGCGCTCCCTGCGCCACTCGAGGCACCGTCTCGAACCTGTCCTTCCCGCGAACCGACCCGACCGTGATCATGGCCATCATCAGCGCTGACGGCACCAAGGTTTTGATGGGGCGTAACCGGCGCTGGCCTCAGTATTGGTACAGCACCCTCGCCGGGTTCCAGGAGCCGGGTGAGTCGATCGAGGAGGCGGTCCGCCGCGAGGTCTGGGAGGAAAGCGGTGTCACGGTTGGACGGGTGGTGCTGCACAGCTCGCAGCCGTGGCCTTTCCCGGCTAGCTTGATGATTGGAGCTATTGGCCAGGCGCTGCCGGGCGATGGAGAGAAGATCTTCTTGGGGCACGATGCGGAGCTGGAGGATGCCAAGTGGTTCCCCTTTGAGGAGGTCAAGGAGGCGTTGCTCAATGGGGCGAGTGCTCTAGGAGAGGCGGCGCCGGCGGGATATGTAGAGGGTGCGTTGAGGTTGCCGCCGCAGACGGCTATTGCGAACCGGTTGGTCAAAGCCGTGGTGGAGGGGTGGTGGACTATGTCGAAGATCTGAAGTGGTGAGTTGATATATAGATAGATGGCCTTTGCATACATAGACCTTTAACTTTTCTTGGAGAGGCGCCTTCAGTAGTGCTCGTTCGATTAGGTGGTTGTGTGTAATGCCAGTGGCATATTCAACACATTGCAATGTACCAATATGTCGGCATCTGACAGTTTAATGTCAAACAAGGAGGCTCGGGAATGTCGCGAACAGCGACATTGTGCTTTCACGACCTTGAGGTTGGGTGAGAACGAGAAAGATGGACGGCCTTCAACTCGAATCTCGAATCGACATTGTGATATTTGCAGTTCGCGTCTTTCAAAAAACCAACGTGCAGTCCTTCTTACGGAGACACATCTGGATAAACACACAACTGGTAATGACCGCAAGCGCGATTTTGCACACAACGCACACCAACACACATCGAACTGACAGAGAGCGCGCAAAGCGATCTATCCGTTCCCAAAGCTCATCTATCCGGGCATGACAAGCAGAGCCTCACTTCTTCTCCACGTCGCCCCCCTTAGGGAGCGAACACAGTGAAAAACAGATTCTCAGAAAATAAAATGTCGAAACCACCCCACGATCACGGACCTAGAATGTTCGACGTCCGCGACTAGTGTAAAGGGAAGAGATGGAGAAGCATTACTTTAGGAGGCCGGGAACGGAGGAAGACCCATCGGGAGTATGGTAAAGAGTAACCCTCAGCAAGCCGCTATGCGGAGCCACCAGTATTAATGTAGTTAGTAACAAGGCCACTCTCCAACACATGGCGGTGTAGAGAGAGCATCCTTGCCACTGAAGAAAAAAAAAGAGAAAAGGAAACGGAAAGGAGGGGGAGCAGTGTGCGGTTTTATACGGGTGGAAATGTTTGGCGCTAGTGGGGCTAGGGCTTGGGGATTTGGGGTGTTTGTGGTGGGGACAGGTGGTGAGCAGCTGGCGGGGTGAAATTCTTGGTGGGGTGGGCGAATTGAATACTGACTGTATCCAATGTACCTAGGAAGCTGCGATAAGAAGATAGCGATGCCCGATGGGACGCCGCAGCGCGATAGTGTAGAGGCCATCACGGTTCACTGACAGCATCTTCAGCCTCATGATCTTGGTCTTGAACACATGCTTTTGGAAAGGACCGCTCAGTCAGATTGACAGGTTCTTGAAATGCTTCATGTCTGTATTCAATCCCATGGGTGAGTGGTCTACTTACACTCATCCACCTGGCCTATTTACATCCGCACCTCTCACCACCATCCTCACCATCTTGTCTCACAAGTAATAATCCACTCCCAACCCAATCCCCTCACACTGCTGCACCTCCCTCCACCCATTCTCCAGCCTGCTAGGCCAATCCAACACCTTCAACTTGACTCCCGCTCCCCTGCTACTAGCCACCCACTCGCCCCTCTGCACCTCCCTCCACGTACTCTCAAAGCCCCTCGCTCTCAAGAACCCCTTCTCAGGATTCGGATCGCCCGTCCGGATGAAGCTCGCAAAGCTATCTAGCACGAACTGTTCAAACGGCAAATCCATCTCGTCTCGCACGGGTAACCCCTGTCTGGCCAAGTTGCCAAAGACATAGTACAGCTCACCCGAGTGGCATCGCAGATACGGCTTGCTCGGATCCCCGAACGGGTGCGACGCTGTCTTGGGAGGCTCGCACACGTCCAGGTTGGGCCAGCCGCCTGTCTGATAGGTCCGGTCGAACTCATAGTAAAAAACACGCGAGAAGCGGTTGTTGGCCAACCCGGCTTGCACGGTGGCTTGGTCGATGCAACGGAACATGCCGTCGGTCGCGAGGTAGGACGAGGAGTTGAAGAGGGCAAGGGTGCCGTTGGGGTTTGGCGGGATGGGGAAGAGGGATGGCGAGGCAAGGGAGGGGGAGAAGCCTTGGGAGAGCAGGTAGGCGGTTTGGTTGGTGGTGGACGGGTAGCTGATGAAGGGGGCGCCGTCATCGTGGGTTATGCCCATCATTAGGTCGATGCCGCTGGGGCCGGCGGTGCGGGAGAGGTCGAGCTCGGGGGAGACGAGGTAGGTGCCGTCGACGACGAGGTAGCGGGCTACGGTGCCTGAGGTAAGCTTCTCCGCAGGGACCTGGCGCAGACAGGCCACGTCGGTGCAATTGGTGGCAGCGAGGATGGCGTTACCGACTACGGCTGTCTCCTCGGCGATGGTGTAGTACCGGCTGTAGGTGGTACCGTAGTTGATACCACCAAGGTTGCTCAACGGAATGGCACCCTTAAACAAGCCCTTGGTCTTGGGGCTGGCCAGCAGCGCGCGAACGGAGCCAGCGCCAGCAGATTGCCCAAAGATAGTTACTTGATCGGGGTCACCACCGAACTTGGCGATGTTTTCGCGCACCCACTGCAGAGCGGTGACCTGATCACCAAGGCCATAGTTGCCGTTGGTTTTTCCATCCGCGAGCGCAAGGAAGCCCAGGGTGGAGAGGCGGTAGTTGATAGCAACAACCACCACATCTCCTCGCGAAGCCATATTACCGCCGTCAAAGGTTGAATCGGAAGAAGTTCCACTAGTGAAGGCACCGCCATGGATCCAAACGGCTACCGGTCTCAAATCCTTCCTTTTCTTATCACCGTCCTTGCCCTTTCCTTTCTTCCCACCATCGGCAGCTGCGGGAAGATAAGGAGTCCAAACATTCAGAAACAGACAGTCCTCACTTTGTCCCGCTCCTCCACCGCCTTGGACGCATTGGCTACCGTACTCCAACCCACTCACCTCCTTCTGCTTCCCCTTTCCGCCATCTCCACGGTACAGGGTAGAGTAAGTGAACCTCTCCGGCTTAGGGGCGTACCGCAACCCCAGAAACCGGAAAGAAAGCCTATCCCTGAATCCAATGACCTTCTCATTGCCGTTCACCCCTTCTACACCAACCTGCCACTTCTCACTCTTGTCTTGAGCTTGGTTGTTGGAAAACGGCGCAGTCTGCGAGCACAGGACCGGGTACTTCGCTGCCTGACCTTTGCCACTCCTCACTTCGGAGACGGAAATTCGGCCAGAAGGGGAAACGTCAATCACCCTCGGCACAGACGGGTTCTTGGGCGAAGGGGCGATCCACAGGGTTGTTATTCCGAGCGATGATGATCTTCTGGAGCGGTAGATGAGGTAATCGAGGTTGGACTTGATGCTTGATGTGGAAATGAGCTCGGGAGAGTAGAGTGATTCGCCCAGAGAGGAGCAGGATTGGGAAGCTTGGGAGAAGGCAAGTGAGTTGGGAAGGAGGAGGACGGAGGCGTTGGCAGACGGGCTGGAGGGGCCTGCACTTTGTCAGCGTCGAGTCTGGGCCCAAAAGGAAGGGTGAGTATACCTTGGAGGTCATTGTTGACAATGACAGTGAGGTCGGAGTGAAGGGTGTTGGGAGATGGCGGGCTGCTGCTAGCTGCTGCGGTGAGAGGGACCGAGGAGAGGAGGGTTGAGAGAATGGCTCCCCGAAGGGTAGAAGTGGTCACCATCTTGACCTGCCACTTCGCTGGCTTATGAAGGCGCGTACAACACAGGTCAGAGGAGAAAAGAAGGTAGGTAAGTGGAACAAACTTAACATCGTGGTTATGCTAATGGGAATAAGCTTTCTTAAATACAACGGTCCAAGCTACCCGGATCACCATCTTCCCCGATACGATCTACATCATCGTTACCGTCATCCTGGTTCCAGGTTCAGACTGCCGGACAACTAGTGTGGTTGAAATCCGGGGAAATAACATGAGGTTCACCAACCGACGACCACAATCACAGCCGGTCACCCGGTGAAGTTACCGTGGGCTGTTCTGCCGAGAGGGTCAATCCAGGGAATGCCAGTTAGTTGAAGTTCTCGAGATCCTCACTCACAACTACCGAGCTACCTGGATGACGTAGGACGAAGTAAAAATGGGGTCAAAGCTCGTGTGCTTTTAGCCTAAATATTTCTCCCTGCTTTCTCCTCTTCCCTCTCCGCGGCACAATTTGAGGTAGACGGCGAGGAGACGAGGAGTAAGTCGGGGATGTATCCGCCTCTGCCAATAGAGGCCATTGAGAACGGCACGCAATGGGAGAGAGAACAGCGGCGCTGTCCCGAGATGCCGAAGAGCTTTGTGTTGTGCGCAAAAAAGGACCTTCCTGGTCGAATATACAAGGTGCCATGTTGGTACCGGGGTTGTATGTTTTGGGTTGATTCATTGGCTGTGCGTATGTCTTTGCATTGAGTTTTGGTGAATGCCTTCCAACTGAGGTATTCCTGTTCATTGATTTCTGGTGACAAGTTTTCAATCCCCAACGTGGCTTCATAACTCCCTGCTTCTAACAGTTAAAGCACATACGACCATACCCACTGGAAAACTCGGGAT